GCTTCCAAGTCAACATCCAAACATAAAATCCCCGTCACAGGGATTTAATTAGTTGAGAGTTGAGATTTTAATTACATACTAATTAGGAGTATTTAACTATATATTTGAATAAACGTGTTGATAATGAAGCTACCAGACAGGGGTACGAGGGAAATGATGAATAGCCGAGGGGAATATGATTCATGAGGATAGGAATTAAAGGAGAAGAGCGGTAAAGTTAGGAAGGAGGTAGGAAAGGGAGTGAAACACTAAAACCAGGCTGCGGAATCACATGGAGAAGACCGACTTTTCGTCTACCTGCGGGCTGATTAGTTTTTGATTAGTCTCGAGTGTGTCATGCATCCAGTGGCGTAGTGGATGAGTCGTGGTGGGGAGCATTCCATTTTAATATTTTGGGCATCCCAATGGACCAATTCATCTCCTCTAATGCTCTTATTTATCACACCATTACTCTCCTATCATTATCCTTTTTTACCTCTTTCCTCGTCTCTTTCTGATGCTGCGTACGATCAAATTAATTAACAGTTTTAAAAAAAAACCTCCTATTTCTCTATTATAATTTGTGTCTGCTATTTTGGCTGCTAACATGATGGGCGCCAAACCTCATGCTTATCTACTACCGAGCAAGTCCAATATGTGTTTCGTCAACAAAGCGACCGATCCCCAAGGGGACAAAATCTTATCATCAGGCAGCTTAATAAAAGGAGGCCTTCCATAGCCCTTGAGATCCGCTTGATTCAATTAATAATTAGGACTGTGGCAAATTTATCCGCATGGCCGCGAGCTTGATGACCGATGGACGTCCACGTCACGTTCCGCTTATGCTTTCTACTGCGTTGCGCTTTAAACACCCTGCCTTTTCATGCTTAAAAGCATTCTTTTCTTAAAACACAGGCACGCCCACAAAATGGCATGCATATAGTTGACGAGGTCAACATTGCTTTATGATTATTATTATTATTATTATTATTGCATTAAAGGAGTGTATAGGAGTATCAACACCTTGCTTTCAGTAGCGCCTTAAAGAGAGTGTGCAAATACATATTTATGATACTCCCCCCCCGTTCTTTATTATAAGACAAATACTAATTTACGTTGATCAAAAAAACAGTTAAATTAGTTAAGGACAATTAATATGAAAAAGTATAATATTTTTTCCAACAATACCCCCATTAATAGGGAGAGAGTATGAGAGAGAATAATTAATTATTAAAGAAGAGAAGTGGGAGGGAGGAGAGTATGAGTGGGAGATAAAATAAATAGGGGTTAAATAGAAATCAATACAAAAAAATAGAGACAACTTTTAAGTGTCTCTTATATATTGGAACATGCCATAAGCATCAAATGTCTCTTATAATAAGGAACGGAGGGAGTATTTTAGTATACATGTTTAATACTTGTTTGATGACACTAGGATGGTGGAAATAGGAAATTAAGAGGAGGATTGGCGAACTTAATCACGTGGTTTAATGATACAACTATCATCAGTGATGTCATCAGATTAATTGAACCTGCAATGATATTTTCTTAAAAAATCAAAGGCGCAACTAGCGTGCAGTGCCCAATCAGAAGCTGAGCAATGCGCATATGGATCTAATCAGATAAATGCAATTCACGGAGGCAACAGATGAAGAAACACACGGGAAATAGTGAGAAAAGTTATTCATCAGTGCATGAGATGAAGTCATGGCTTACATAGGAATTAGGAATTAGGAATTGGGATTGGTTACTTCTTAGTATCTCATGATTGAACGCCCCAACACCCGATTCTGCGTCTCCTTTAACCACGCCCGCACATCGTATATATTTCCCAGAACTTCAACATCGGCGGTTCATTATTTAACATACTTGACCATTACGTGTACAAACAAATTTTGCTGTGCATTTGCTTGGGGAGATGCGAAGGAATTGTAGCCACGTGATGGTCACCTTTTATCCAGAATAAGATTCTTTTCCCCACAATTAAGTTAATTTCTTCGTGGACAACGAATTTCATTCTATGTACTGGACACTGGACAGGCATGTACAATATATTGGCGAAGGGCCTTAGCTTTTGCCGTGTGACGTGTTGGTGAGCAAGAACTGGGACTTCCTTTTTTTTTTTTTTGGGCCATTTTCATTGATCCCAAATTAGTCAATGAAATCCGCTGTTTTTCTATTAGTAAACAAACAACAACGAGAAGCACGTGATTTTTTTTCAAAGATTAATTGATGCTGAGTTTGACAATCCACCCGTGCGGTTATTCAAGCAGTTAATTAACAACATTAACGTGTAATAAATGCTCAGCCTGACTATCCACGTTCTGGTACTGTAATACAAGAAATTAGAAGACGGAAAAGAAGAGTGGGGCAGTGGGCTACTCTAATTTAAGCGATCGACAGTGACATCCCAGTTTGGACCCCATATGGAATCTTAGCTGCATGAGCTCGTTTTGCGTGTGATCATTGCTCAAGGTTTCAATTTGTTATCACTGTCTGAAAAGAAGTGAAGGGAAATTAAACAAGTCAGCCACGTTTATACACAGATACACACGGGGGCTCTGATACTGAATTATTGTGTCATATTTGTTAACTTACCTTATCAATTCGTATAATTTCACCTGGCGAATTCAAATCTATGTAACCCTATAGCTCATTGGTATCAATATGAAGAATGGTACAATTTATCTTTATTCCTAGGCAAGTAGATACTCTAAAACGCATATTAATTTCATAGACATTTGGAAAAGTGCTGGTGAATTTCAGATCTTTTTTTAGCCGCAATAAGGAGGAAAAAGTCGAAGCACTCGCTGATGGAAATAAAAAAAAAGTTTGTGGTGACTGGAGCTTGCTTGCCATTTTATTGCGGTGAGAAGATGGGGCGTTGACCGTTTCATGGCACTTGAAGAAACCAGGACGAAGCCCATATGCCATCGTGGGTTGGCATTTGGCAAAGCACCAATCCCATGTTTGGTTTAATCGAATCCACGTGTCTATAGATATGAAGTCATTGAAGGGCATGGCATAACTATGGCTATCAATCATGTAAGGGCTTTAAGCATAACAAAATTTACAACTTTCCAACCTCTGAATGTTCGAAACATGCGTCAGTATTTAGTAATGAGCACAAAAATTGATTTCTTGTCTCTCCAATCATAATTTGAAAACTACTCTTTTTTTTTGGCCATCAGGAAAATTACACTGATTTATAGTTCTATTAATAATATCATGACACCGAATATATATTCATTTTTATTTTCCAGCTAACGAAACCTGACTAAAAAAACTGTACTGTAAAGCATAAACTGTTTTCATGCCCTGATGGGCTGGCATCGTACTGATTACTGAATGTTGAATTTTGTTCTCTCCCCATCCCTTCTTACACGTCCACATCGGCCTTAAACCCCTCCTTCTTCCGGAAAACAAAACACAAAACGACCGCACGGAGCGCGAACTCTCTGAGAGTCGCTGCTCGCCATGGCCACGGCTGAGCAGCCTCCGAAGAAGCGGAAGTTATACGAGCCTCTGCCAGAATCACCACCTCTGCCACCGCCAATCTCCAAATCAATAGCCCCAGACTCACCCTCTCCCAAAACCCTAACCCCGCCCCACTCCTCTGTACCTCCGCCGGCAACTCCTCCATTGTCTCAGGAGCAGATTAACATCAGGCTCAGGAACAAAGATGAAATCCGGAATGTTTACGAATGCTACAAGCGGATTAAATTATGCTTGTCTCAAAAAGATGGCGCCCTCATCTCTGAACTTGAGCAAAGTTATCTCTCTCTCATTTCTGCTTCCAGAGGTCAGCACCTTTACTCTTTTGTCATATTCCTATCCACTGGCCTCAATAATCTGTTGATAATAATTTACGTGACAATTAGGATATAATAACGCATCTGATGGTAATTATTTTGCGTAAGCGGATTCATGCCGAGGATTCAACTGAAATATTATCCCTTTGGCTGTCCTTCAGAATTTGGACGGGTTGCTCCTATCCACATTTATTTGACTGCTCTCAGAATTCTATATATACTAATGGCAATAGTGAAAATTGCATTGATAAGTTAAAACATGCATTTATGACTCGCGACTGATTTGTCCTTTCGAGGGTGATGAATAATGTTGTTCGGAGAATGAATGTGGATGAGAAGTAGTCATAGTTGTAACTAGTCATGTTTTGTTATGATGGTTAGTTAGTTAGAATCTTAGCTGACTAACCTATTTAGCTTGTAATCTGACTCGAGAGGAGCTATGTGAATTGATGATGAGGTTCTGAATCTTAGCTAACTAACCAGCTGATGAGCAGTTAGAATCTTAGCTAACTAACAACCTATTTAGCTTGTAATGACTTGAGAGGAGCTGCATGACTTGATGATGAGGTTCTGCATTTCAAGTCCCCTTTTCCTATATTAATCTTTTTATTTCTATCCTTTTTTCTCTTCTCATATTTAGATAAATGCAAATGCCAACTTCACAGAAGGATAAGCATCTATCAGTCGACCATGAGGTTAATCTTGCCTTGTACATTAATTGAAGCATTATAGTTTAGCTGGTAATCTACCTGCCAATATACTACTCATTATAAAGTTCAATTTTTTATCAGTCTCTATTATCATCACATCCAATATCTACAGTATCGTACGTTATCAACTGTTCTGCATTAGCTGGGCAGAATTGAACAAATTTAAATAAGATTGCACCCTATGAACTATCTTTGGCTCATGTATGTTACTTCCTATACGGGAATTCTTTCTGCGACAAACAGATAGATAATAGATTCCGGAGCTTTACTACTTCGGTCAACATCATATTACTTGAAGCCGTTAAGTGGAGAAACAATGATGACAAATCACATCTATGTTCATTATTCAGCTTCCCCATATACAATGATAATTCACTTATTTTATGCCTGTATAATATCTAGCATTTTTGGGGTGTCCTTATTTTCTCATTCGAGGTCAAGTTGGTGGCAGAATGTTCAAGATACTTTAGGATTTTATCTTATTGGTTGACATCCATGTTCTATTACAGTACTATTTTATTACTAAATTTAGTGTTTAGTCTGCCACAAACTTTATTTGACTACCGCTAATTGAAAAAAGAATGATTCACATAATTTCCACTATGAAATTTCCTTATAATGGAAGTAAAACTTTGTTATTGTGACAGGTTGTATGAGTGTACAAAGAATTGTGGCTGATTTTATTCCTCGATATGCATGTCACTTTCCAACTGCCTTGGAAGCTGCTGCTAAAGGTGTTATTAATATGCATAATTGGAGTTTAACACTGATCAAGAGACGGGAAGATTATGATGGTATCGCATTTGAAACTGCTAAGGCCTGTATTTTGGGTCTGGTTGATATATGTTGCGCTGCTTCTCCAGTGACTCCAACACCATCTGTAAGTAGGGGAATTTGCTCTGCAGTTTTCCAAAATGTGATAACCTTTTTTGATGCATTATTTGGTGAAAAGGATATCTTTTGTATGGTTGATAAGAATTTCCTAAGGATGCAAGATTCTCCTGAGGTTTTTTCTGAGTTGAAGCAAAAGATTTTAGATGAAGACGAGCCTTCATTGGCTAAATTATCCAAGCTCTGTGCATTATCTGTGATTTGGATATTCTTCTCCTGCCCAAAGTATTTTCTTGCAGCTTGTTTGGAGCTTTTAGGCTCCAATGCAACCGAGGGAGCTTCTAAAGGAGGGAAGTATTTTGTGAGCCAGGTGACTAGGAGGCTTGATGAGGATGATGTGGTTCACCTTTTTGATAGAGCGAATGATGAACCTGAATCATGTGCAGGTTCTACAGGAACAAGTGTCAAAGGCAATGACATAGCAGAGGAGCTTTCAACTGCTAACTGTCATGTTTCTGAGGGTAGTGCATCTGTTCAAAATAGTTGCTTGCTCACGCTGGTAGTACCTCACCATTGTTGTCTTTGTGCGTAGATATTATGCAATTTGTTTTAAGTGAACTATAATATTTTAGTGGCAGTATATGTTTTATAGATTTGATACTGGTCAACAAGCTTTATGCTGTAAATGAAATCGTTTGCATGCCTTTAGACTTTTGGTCTATATTGTCATTATTTTGGGTCCAGATACAGATTATGCTTTGCTTAACGCACATTTCCCCTTTTCCCACTGGAGAACTGCATTTAGACAATCAGATCTTGCCATGTTCACAACTCAGGCTTAGACTTGTTTACCTTGTAGGAGTGTGATACCATGTTTATTAACACGTTAAGGAATCTGTTTTATACCAAAAACTCCTTTCTGAAAATTATGTTCAAGGTTTTTTACGCTTACTGTAATTGTGATCTTGCCATGTTCACAACTCAGGCTTAGAAGTTTTTACCTTGTAGGAGTGTGATACCATGCTTGTTAACACGTTAAGGAATCTGTTTTATACCAAAAACTCCTTTCTGAAAATTAGGTTCAAGGTTTTTTACACTTACTGTAATTGTGAAAACTGTTTAACCATTCCTGTAATTTTACTCAAAAAATCTGAAAGTTAGGTTCAAGGTTTTTTACACTTACTGTAATTGTGAAAACTGTTTAACCATTCCTGTAAACAAGGTTTAAAACTTGAATTTACTCAAAAAATATACTTACACTACCTGGCACTTTTTGCTGGGTCTGTTTTATGCAGGTTCTAGACAAGGATCCCTCGTTGAGGAGGTGGATGTTGTATAGGTGTAAGAAGTTATCTAATTCACTCAGTAATGCTTCATTGGAGATTACATCGGCAGTGCAGGGAATCCTTACAATTTTTGGGCAAGAAACATGTATGGAAGATTGTTTACTTGACAGCGATGAGGATAAACCTGATTCTATGAATTGCATGAATAGGAATCATGGGGTGCCTAAGGTCTCTGCGGAACATGAAAGCATTAGTGAATCATCTAGAAAAGCTAGCAATTTAAGAGTTTTTGTAAGTTCATCTGATGATGGATTTACAGATAAGGTTTCAGATAAATATGCAAGAGTTAATAACTCTGCAGTAAATCATGACTCTGAATCCGTATCAAAATTGGGACGTCATTTTGATAATGGAGTCTCAAGGCACATGGGCCTTGAGACAGGGACGCAGGGAGATCTGGCCCAAGTTAAATGTTCTGCACTGAGGGAGTCAGTAAGCAACCAGATGCCCTCACCTGCAATAAGAACATCAATAGAATTTAGGAGTAATGCTTTTGAAGGAAGAATCGACGTCCCAAATTTTGAGAAAAGTCAGGTTTCAAATATGGATTTCAATTTACCTCCATTGAGATCTTCTAGTGGAAGTGTTTGTAATATTCAGGCATCTCCTAAACATAAATTTGTGTCTTCAGTTGCTTCCACAAGAAGTCAAATCGTCTGGTGTTTCGATGGGGATCCTGTGTCTATGGATATTGTCTCTGCTTCAAAACAGCTCTGGGTAGGTTTTGCAGGGCTTGACCTGTCCGAAAATCATATTAGGTTTCAACTTGAGAGGTTTGGTCCAATTGAACAATTCTTTTTCTTTCCTATAAAAGGGTTTGCCTTGGTTGAATACAGAAACATCATTGATGCCATAAAAGGTCGTGAGTATTTGCCTGGAAGTTTTCCTTGCCGAGTTAAATTCATGGATATAGGATTTGGAACTAGAGGTTCTATGAATGGCGTTGCAGTTGGTTCTAGCTCACTGACCTACATTGGAAGTGTTTCCAGCCAATGGGTCAAGGATGAGATACTACATGAAACAAGAAAAGTCATCCATAAGGGTCCACTTATGGTTACTGATCTTAGCCAAGAGCGGGCATTACTCATGGAATTTGAAACTCCTGAAGAGGCTGCCTCAGTGATGTTGCATCTGAGACAATTCCGAAGGGAAAGAAGCAATCATTACCAACCTTTTGGCCCAAGGCCAGGTTTTGCTGCGATTGGAACTGCTCATATGGACGGTGCAAGACATGTGCCCGCACCTCCCCATCTTGACCTTAAAGCCAACATCCCAGCAAACTTGTCAAATGGTATCGCAGGATCTCCTCATTCTCGAACGTTGTCGGGGAGCCCTGCTGATAGCAGTCAAATGAGGTTGTCTGACTTGTCTTCCTTACTGGCATCATGGTGTGCAAAATAGAATAGTAATGAAAAATATAGTATGCCTTGATAATTTTGCAATTGCGAATGGTCATAATTTCTTAGATTTCAATCAGATACCATATGAAAGACGATTCATCACATAATTTCAAGAATCATCTCTCAAACAAGAAAAGTTATTTTCATTGAAGGTGGAAATTCGGTGAACATGATCTATGCAATTAGAAATTATCCATCAATGGCTTTGATGCACAGATTTGGTAAAAGTTGCCAGATGTTATGAAGTAAACTTGTTTCATGGAACTGTTAATTGATCTTGTATTTTATGTTGCGGCTGATGTTTCTTGCCTCTTCCAGTGGTTCTAAGATTTCTTTAACGAGTATTTGGATAATTTCACATAATATACATTGGGAAATAAAAATTTCTATCACGTTTGAATTAAAGGATGTTATGTCCTCGCCATAGCTTCTTGAAACAACAGAAATTATCTTTTTATGTGTACTCTAAGATGTATATATAGGTTATAATAATATTATAGATGTTAGTGTCACCGGGGAAAAAAAAAATTATAGATGTTATTGCTTCGGCAATGAAGAGCCATATCTCCGTACTTTCCATATATTTACACTAATTATAGCTTTTCAATCATCATCGTCGTCATTGACTTCATACTTCCAGCTTTGTATAATTACTGTTCTCCCATTTTTGTACAGCCAACATGGGATTAATGCTGCACCATTTTCAATTAAACCTGAAAACAACTCTTTGGAGCTTGTATCGCCTGGAGTAAAGTCAGAGAGTCAGGGTAGTGGCGCATGTGCTCCACCTATGTTTCAGTCAAACTGGAACTTCTCTTCTTCAAGGGAGATGCTGGAAGCTGGGGCAAGGAAGCCTGATGGTTATGACAACCTGCCAGCTGATCTTCATCAAGGAGGTAATATATTATGAAATTTCTGTCTGTATTTATTTGTTTGTTTATTTATTATCCTTTAAATGCCTACCACGTTTGTGAAGGAACTATATATTATTGGAATAATTAACTCAGCTATTTATTTGGTTTTTATGCACTGAACAATGCGCTTATCTTATGAAATCTGGCGCTGAGTTTGTCCTGCAACAGGCAATGTTCCACACATTCTCAATGCAACACAAGGGCCTCCTATCCCACCACCGCAACAAATTCAGTCATCTCCTTTCATTCGCCCTGTTTATGTTCCTCCAAATGGTCCATGGGATGCCCGGGGATTTAGTAATCATTTATCTGCCGAACAATACAAGACAGGATCATTGCCAAATAATTTTCATGGTAGTGCTGTTGTAACTCCTTTCATACCTGCTTCAGTCACTCCACTTGCTCAGATACAGGGAACTTCAGTTCCTCCTTACAACCAGCCGATCCCCCCACCAATTGTACCACTGCCTCCTTCATCCTTGCCACCCCCACCCCCACCTCCTCCACCTCTACCCCATACTCAACCACCCTCAGTTCCTCCACCACCTGGTTCTCCTCCACCCCCACCTCCACCGGTGCCTGTTCAGGAATTACCCAATACTGACAGTTCAGGAAAGTCTCCGCAATATCAATGGCAGGGAGTGCTTTGTAAAAGTGGAGTTAATTACTGTACAATATATGCATGTAGAGCAGATTCAAATATCTGCAAATATTCTAATGCCATTCCTGAGCCTTCTGAGTAAGACTACATCTTTTACTTCCTTATTGATCTGAATATATTTTGTTCGAAATATGAGCTGAAATTGCTGTTTCTGTGGTGTAGATGGCCTGCAAAATTAGATATGACTAAACGCACAGATCTTCGGCATGTAAGATCAACATTCGCTGGCACTCCGCAACACAGGGTGAGTTTAATAATAACCTTTGGTTGTGACTCCTCATGATATTTTGCTTATCTTTGTACTGTTGATTTATTTTTGATTCCGCGCTATTGAATTATATATGCATTGAAAGAGTTCATTCGCAGGTTTATGTATTGCTGTTTCATATATACATAAAATCTTCAGTGATGAGTAGTTTGAGCATAAAGATGGGTAAATGACAAGCAAAAGCAATTGGACTAGATAGAGTTTTCCTGCCTTGTAATCTGGTGTTTCTATTTAGCCATTCCCCTGCCCCCCCAAACCTGTATTTGTTCTGTCACTGCCTAAAGCTAATTAATTTTGACTGTTCTTGACATTTGTTTCAGAGGGAAGTTTGTCGTTTAATCCCGTCATCCACGAGTGACTACAAAGGGGTGTGTATTTTCTCTCTTGTTCTGTGCACCTAATTGATAGTTGGAATTAGTTTCATGTTGGAATAGAGCTGCAGTCTCTTGACTTCATATCTGCCGCTCAGTTTCAGGATTTTATATCTTACCTAAAGCAGAGGGATTGTGCGGGAGTTATTAAAATACCAGCTTCCAAGTCCTTGTGGGCGAGGCTTCTTTTTATACTCCCTCACATGCCTGAAACATGCTCTATGCTGTCTATTGCACCAGACCCCTCTGATTGCCTCATTGGATTGGTGTTGCCGAAAGAAACAAACTTCGAGTGGATATGATCGCTGTCATCATTCATAGGAGCACGGAGCAGAGTCCTCGTTGTATTTGTAATAATGTAAGCCGAAGGCACATGGCCCCCTCTGAAGAATGCAAATGCGCATTGCTTAACTTTCTCTTTCTGATTGATATTTTTGTTTTGTGAGAAAAAAGATGTGGAGGGAAAGCGGGAGAAAAAACGGCGGGTGGGGGTGTTTATGTAGATACAGTTCACTTTATGGCCATTTTTCCTACTCGGTCTGCTGTGTATAGGATTTTGCTCGTAGAAGGTATCCTGGGTAGTTAAGCTTGAGGCTGGATGTCCTGTATAAATGTAAACATCTTGTTTGATTCATGGAGGAATCATTTCAGTTACAACGCTGCTCCATTTCAGCTGCTAGTATTTGTTTGGAATCACAATTGAACACCTTACACATGATTTGAAGTAAACAAAATTTCACATGCTTACTTAGTATTCTATAAATCATGATTGAAAATTGATTTTGAAAAATTCTATCACCCTTTCAAACAAGCACTAGTTTGTAAGAGGTTTCTTGAAGCAATTGTATCAAGGAGGAAAGGAAAAAATATAAGATGGGATATTGCACCTTGAAACCATTATGACCGGGGGAAGCGCTGAAAAAAAGGTGCTATATATCGAAGATTTAGAGAGCTGGATAAAAATATCTGTAAGGAAAGTGGCCAGTGAAGGAGGAAAAATCAATTGGCTACTGTATAAACCCGGAAAATGGAGGGTAGTGTCTTGACGAAAAACAGGAGGCCCAGGCCTAACGTTTGCGCGGTGACAGGATGTGAAGAAAAACGTGGATCAAAAAGACCAATTAGTTGCTCTCGTTGAGAGTCGAACTCAAGACCTCCCGCTTACTAAACGGGTGCTCTAACCAACTGAGCTACGAGAGCTCGATCTTCTTCGTGAAATACTGTATTAAATAATTAATATTACTCTAACTCTTTTGGGACCAATCGTCACTATCAAGGAACTATTTTTCTAAATAATCTTGAGTTTCGACCCACATACCTTTTGAATACTATGTTTGTTCTCTCTTATTTGAACAGTAAAAGTTTATCAAAATGTACTAAAGCACGTATAGTGATCCCACCTTTTTCACGGAGCATAATCATAAATCTCCGCAATTCTTAGGGGCATTTTTTCCTTAGTCTTTTTTTAAGTAATATCTATTTGCACTCCATTGTTATAAGAGACATTCCCGGGACACATGCATGCCATTTGCCAAAAGGAATTTAGTAAATATTTATAAATTTAAAAATATGTGAATAAAAATGAAATTGAAAAAGGCTGAATTGGAGCGTATGAGGGGGAAACACATGGGCGAGGGATATGTGCGGTTCTTCTGCCCTCCATTTGCAATGTCGCATACATTCCACAACACTCGACCTTCGTTGAATTTTAAGGGTCGTCTCACTTGCCGCAATACAATAAATATATAATCATGAATCGGAAGTAGTATTGGATTCAGAATGAGCTCTTGTCCATGTTTCTCATGTCCCAGTTTGCACCATAGAGAACTTGTATTTCACAAGAATAGCTCATTACTGGAATTTATCACACTAAATACTATTATATCCGATCTTAATATAAAATTTAATTAGCTAATTTGAATAAATTAAGAAAATTAGTTAAGTTAGTTATTTGTAATAAATAACTGTTGTCTTTGTTAAAATATTCTTACTAATCTAGTGTATTAGTTAAAACTACTATTATTATAAAGGTTATCTTAAAAAATAGATAAATATGATAAACAAAGTGAATTGCGATCTTATATTTAGGGGGTGTTTAGGAAGTTATAAAAGTGTTTGTAGAAAGTACTTTTCGTAAATCGAAACAAATTCCTCTGCATATTTACTTTATAAACTGTAAAATTACTTTTAAAATCAAGGTTCCGTTTCTGTCCAAACAGTTCTTTAAACCAAAATAAAAGTTAAACAAATTCTTATACAAATATCAGAGGTAGTTTGATGTTGGCGGCAGATCAATGACTCTGGTGGGCAAAACAAAACAGTTTACAGTGAAAATATAAGCAGGATTTGCTGGCCAAAAAAAAATATAAGCAGGATTTGGATATAGGATTTGTTTTTTACCTCAAGATGCGGTAGGATATGCTGAAAAGTTTTGAAGATGCAAGTAATTAGTAGACGCAATTATTTGGTGATGAAAGGGGAGAAGGAAATTAGGTTAGGGAAATTTTCTTGAATTGACTTTAATCCATTCGAAAGAGAGGGAGGGGGTGGGGCGGGAGATTTATATGATGATCCCCTCAGGGGCGTGGCCTGACCTGTACTGATTCCCATGATTGATGGAAGCATGTGGCCAAATGTGAAACCTAATAATTCCACGTGGCATGTAATACAAGGCGCAAGTGTGAGCCGGATGCCCCACGCCACAGTAGCGAATCATTTTACCTGTACCGGGTGAGCCAGCCAGCAGGTTAAATAAAAACTTGCGAGCTTCCACACACTGGCTCCTCATCGAATGACGATCCTTCCACGCACGCGTTTAAAGAGAGCCCCCGCACCTGCTTGGCTTTTGGTCCGGTCAATATTCAATACGGGCACGTGTCACTCCACGCCGCGCCTCAAACCAAGCAATTATGTTCATTGTGTTCCTCAATTCTCATCAGTCCTCACAACACAACGCCTCTTCTCTCTCCCTCTCCCCCCTCTCCCTCTCCCTCTCTCTCTCTGACACTCGAATCTTGCCTGAACCACAACCTCCCCTCCACACCTCACCACGCAGCAGCTTACCACGATTTGACTTTTTGATCGCCAACCGTCGCCATGGGAACAGAGAGTCCGGCCAATTACACTTACTTGGGACGGAGTCTCAGCGAATTGAGTATCAACGATAATTCTTCCTCTGCTTTCAGCGACTGTAACAGTGATAGATCTGGTGAATTCCCCACTGCTTCTTCCCAGAGCCGCCGTCTTCTTATCGCCTGCGCTTCTGAGAATTCCGATGATTTTATTCGCCAGCTCGTCTCCGATCTCCATTCCACTTCTATTGACGAGCAAAAGCAGGCCGCCCTGGAGATCAGATTACTAGCCAAGAATAAACAAGAAAATCGCCTCAAAATCGCCGAAGCTGGAGCAATTAGGCCCTTAATCTCGCTTATATCTTCCCCCGACCTTCAGCTCCAAGAGTATGGCGTCACCGCGATTCTGAATCTTTCGTTATGCGACGAGAACAAAGACCTTATAGCTTCATCGGGAGCGATCAAACCTCTGGTTCGAGCTCTCAAGACAGGAACACCTGCGGCTAGAGAGAACGCGGCGTGCGCTCTGCTTCGTCTGTCGCAAGTGGAGGAGAATAAGATCGTAATTGGAAGGTCGGGAGCTATTCCAGCTCTGGTGAGTCTTTTAGAGAACGGGGGGTTCAGAGGGAAGAAAGACGCATCGACGGCGCTGTATTCGCTGTGTTCGGTGAAGGAGAACAAGATAAGAGCAGTACAAGCAGGAATCATGAGGGCGCTAGTGGAATTGATGGCGGATTTCGGATCAAACATGGTGGACAAGTCAGCGTACGTGTTGAGCGTGCTGGTATCGGTGCCGAAGGCGAGGACAGCATTAGTGGAAGAAGGAGGGATTCCGGTGCTGGTGGAAATAATAGAGGTGGGTTCACAGAGGCAAAAGGAAATCGCAGTGGTGATACTGTTGCAGATTTGCGAGGACAGCGTGGCTTATCGTACAATGGTTGCCCGCGAAGGAGCCATTCCTCCGTTGGTCGCATTGTCCCAATCCGGCACCAATCGGGCCAAACAGAAGGTCAGAATCACAAAATGTGACATATCACCCTCTGCTCTCATTCTCTACTTGACCTGTCACTGACGTGGCAGACCATTTTCATCCCATAAAAAATCATATAGGCAATCGAGTTGGAACATCATCTTCTGCCACTCCGGGTCCAATAATATAATTCCTCGCACGCTCCACCTTCCCTCTTCAATATTGAACTTTCATTAGATTGATTAGCCCCTAGCCGACTAGAAAACAAATAGGGAAAACACATCTTGATAAGAAGGGCCTTTCATTATTGTCATTCCATTAAAAGCGAGCCTATCTGCATGCTTACTTGATTTACCACTAGCTTAGGACTTGGCTTATGTCCACACATACAGCATGGACCTTATTATGGTCTTTGATGAAAATTAAGAACTGTTTCTGCTTTTAAAAATGATAGTATCCATTTTCTGTCGCTAATTGTTTGAGGAAATGCGAACAGGCGGAGACACTCATAGAGCTTCTACGGCAACCGAGATCCGGCAACGTCGCTGCTCGAACCTCGGAAGTGTCGGCATAAATCTCTCTGCCCCCATCATGTTCTGCCCAGCTCTGTGACTTTGTTGGACAACATTCCCCTGCCCCCCACCCCCTCAGGAAGAAAAAAAGAACAGAGGAATATTGTAAATATCGTTCCCAGGGAGAAATGTTTGTAAAATTAGTGCTAGAACTCATATGAGATTGTGGGCCAAGGGCCAAGGCGAAAAATCTTATTTATGCTGAGATAAGTTTTCCTTTTTAACATTTTTGTCGGCTCTTCTTAAGTTTTTGATCTAAATATTTTTTTTTAAAAAAGTGTTCCTATCAAAATCCCTTTTTTAATTAAGTGATGTCTAACAGTGATATTTCATTCATTTCAAACATGCAAAGGATCCGTATGATAAGAAAATGTCATTGTGAATTTTGAAAAGCCTCAGTAGTTATAGCCAAGGGGAATAAAAGTCTTGTTTACAACCCAGGAAAAAAATATTGTTTAGAATACTGAACGAGGAAAAGAAGGCGCCGGAAGGAACGGCGGCAAAGAGAGAGTGATTAGTGCAGCTGGGTGGCTTTGGTTTCAAAAAGAATTGAGGCTGTGATGTTCAACACTGTCCACATGGATGGAGTAGAAGAGTAGCAATTTGAAAAGGAGAGGTAGGCAACTCATGGTTGTTGGGTAGCGTTTCCTTTAGATTTTTGATTTTTCTTCCTCTTGGGCTGGAAACTGAAACAGCTAAACTAGGTATACATCTGACACGTGTAGTGGATTCCGTTATTCGATGAGCCGTTAGTCGTTGGGTCGCATCATGACTAGGATCGTTGTCGGCGGCTCTGGGTCCCTCGCCTCACGTCTGGTGGACTAATCCTTATATGCTCCTCACTGGGACTATTTTACTCTGCTTTTTTTTTTTTTTCGGTGAAGACTATTTTACTCTGCTTTCTTCGTTCATTCTTCGTCACTTGGCATTATCAGGCGCCACTTCCTTCACTTTCACTAATCAAATCACTTTATCTTTTTAATTTCTTCACAATTACAGTTCACTATTAACAATTCATTATGGACCTTCCATCCGTCGGTGGCATCATGCTTCCCCACCTGTGCTGAGCATCGGGGGGAAAAAGAACCACTCCGCATAACACGAATCTCTCTGTATAGTTGTGAATGTGTAACAACTTATTTTTTTTGGGAAGCTCCGAAGCTGAGGACAGGTGAAGGCATCAAATCAATTGCTTTGAACTAGAAAAGCAACCAATGGTCGTAGTTATTAATAGACAAATAAAATTGATTGGTGGCTTACTGGCATTGAAGATGCATCATTCCTTTCTTTATTGATGTGTAAACTCATACCGCTGTGCCACTAAATCTGTATAGTTGTGCTATGGACAGCGGGAGTATAAGAACACGTGTGAATATTTCACCCAAAAAAAAAAAAAGAACATATGTGAATATCTTTAATTTTCACCGTAAATAACTTTTCTGAATTTATAACCTTTACCGGCACTTATTAACCTTTATTTTCTTGTCTTTTCTCTCTGGTGTATAAATTTGGAAGTGTTTTGTTTAATTTCTTAATCAATGAGAAGTACAAATTCCCTAATTATTCCACAGAGAATTACTTGTTTTAATTTGGAAATGAATTTTACTGTGAGGAAAGGGGGAAGTTCGTCCTTCCTTCCTTCCGCCAAGCAGAAGTTAGTCAGTTGATTGCAGTTTATGTTTTTTTGTATAATAATCACAAATCAGTCAGAACTTTGGACGAATTCGGCACTGTCAGCAAACAGACTGCAAATCAAACAAGGAGGCAGAAGAAGCAGGCATCTGGCTGTGGGCAGGGGCCAGCCCCTACCGTGAAAACCCAAACGACAAATGTTTTTGCCTGACGAAAGGCCTGAAAAAAATAACTTAGATGGGGATGTTTCAACGGTCCAATCCACGATGTGCCAAAAAACAAGGTTTTTGAAGATCTGGGTAGAAAAGCCCAATGTGACACGAGGCCTGGAAACTACAGAGTAAGCGGGGGTTAATATATAGATGAAGATTTTCTTTTGACCAGCAGTATATAGATGAAGATCATGTATATTGTGACCAAATCACTAGTCGGAATGGCATCAAATACCAACCTAAAAGGGGCAACTTTTTGTCACTTCATTAATCACTGATTAGTTCATGCATATTGAAGAGACGTATAACACTAATTGGTTGGATTGAAGTTAACTTGGGCTATGGCAGCATGGTTGATTCGCCTTTGTGTAGCTAAATCTCAATTTATTTATAGAAGGCAAGACAGTGAAGGAGGTTGCGCGTAATTATATGTTGAAGACTTTGATTGTCAGAATGGAAAAGCTGGGTTTCAAGCAGTTGCGCAGCATTGGCCTGGTTCTCCCCTCCATGTAAGTAATTGTTGCCAGTGCCATAAAATATTTGTGTTGACCAGCGCAGAGTAAACACATGTTTAGCCTCTCTGCTTTTTATTCGATTTTTTTAATCATGGCTGGTTCTTGTAATTAACCCCATATTTGGTACGAGAGAATTAAAAAAGATAAATAAAAAAAATTAATGAGTTTGATTTAAGAAATTAGATAAATGGGATTATAAAATTTTGATATAAAAAAGATGTAAAACAAAAGAGCAAGTAAAATTAATTAAAAACTTGTAACCATGCTTATTAACTCAAACTTGTTTAAATCGAACTTATTAAAAATTTATCTCCCTCCATCTTTCTTTTATTTTCCTCCCACCAAACAGATCCATAGCCAGACTTTTTCATTAATTAGCAAGAAAGCTCTCGAGGAAGAAAATGAAGTAACCTGAAATGAATTGCGCCCAACCGAATCAATTTTTGATGCAGCCGCTGCAATAGGATTATTTATATTAAAAATCTCAAAGACATAGGGTCAATTTGTTAATAGATACGCTGGTCAAAAAAAATTTGTTAATAGATACTATTGTTCATCAAATCAATTTTAATACTGCTAAATATCATCCCCAAAAAAGTTTCTAAAGGCGTAAGCACAAATATCTCCTCCCCAGATTGTACGCAAGGCCAGGGCCCATCAGATGGGACACTGTGTCTCAGAGACATATGATTAGACCGGCGGGAAATTAGATTAATTCACAGTATGATATGAAAACTAACACAGTAAAAAATATTATGTCAGGAAAAGGGCAAAACCTAAAATAGTTAACACCATCTAATGAAGTGGCAAAAGCCAAAACATTGCTGGCGCTAGAGTTTGATGAGTGGAAGCACAATCTATGAGGGGGCAAAGAGAGGACAAAGAAACACTGAGATTGCCGTACGAGAGTCATGTCACACAAATTAAAATCATTTCCTCTGCCTTTCAGTTGTCCCCCCTCATTCAGATAAACCCATGAGAGATGCTACCTGCCATAAACCACAATGACACACTAAAAGCTAATTTTAATTTTACTAAAAAGGAAGGAAGAAAGCCCAGAAAGAAAATGGAAAATGCAGTAAATTCCTGAGGACTTTATATCATGTGAGGATCACGCGTCGATCCTTATCCCACATCTTCGTATCAAAGCCCACATATTATTCGCCAGGTGTCCCGCCTTGGAGCTCGTTTTACCACTTCTTCCTGGACCTCTAGCTTCCGGGCCAGTACCTATGCTACGAAAAAGCAAAGACTAAGAACACGCGCCTCCATGTCCACGCGCTACTGCGCGAGGGCTATCTCGAGCTGTCGAGCGAAGTAGGTGGGAGCACTCAAATGAGGAAGGTGTCCCTCCGTCTCCAACCACCGCACCGTGCTCCGATCACCCAGCTGTTCCTTCATGTAATTTGCCACTGATGACGGCACCGAGAGGTCTTTAGTCGTCTGCATAATACAGCAAGGTACTTTCACCAACCCTAGAATTCCTCTCAAATCGCTGTTAAACACGGTTCGCGACACGAACAGTGATATATCGGGCCTCATGTTGAACAAAGTCCTGGTGAATTCTCGGACCGCCTCCGGAGCGTCTGCTCCGACAGATAATGGAGCAAATCCGTTGACCCACGCTTCGTAGTTGGCTTCCATAGCCAAGAACACTTGCTCAATTTCATCCTGCTCGAATCCTCCGTGATAGTCCACGTCGTTCAAAAATCTGAAAGAAAAACGTGAAGTCGAGAGCGAATTCGAGGAACGCCGTTGGGAATTAAATATAGTTGAGCCGGCGAGAAGCAGATTCGGGATTGAATTGATTTTACCTGGGAGAAGCGCCGATGAGGACGAGCTTACTGAAGAGGTTGGGTCGGCGAATGGCGGCTAAGATTCCAATCATGGCGGACATAGAGTGACCGACGTAAGCACAGCGTTGAACTCGGAGGGCGTCGAGAATGCCGAGCAAGTCGTCGACGTAGGCGTCGAGAGTGGTATATCGGTGGAAATCAAAGTAATCGGGATTGACGCTGCCGGCACAGACGAGGTCATAGAGAATGACGGTGTAGCGGCGAGTAAAGTAAGGGAGAATACGCTGCCAGGCGGATTGGTCGGTGCCGATGCCGTGAGCCAGGACGAGGATTTGGTCGCCGGAGCCTTCCACGCGGACATTGAGCGCGTCAAGGATGAAGTGGCCCATGTGCTTCTGCCTCCTTCGGGAACTCGAGAGCCTGATGTGTATGGCTTTGAGAGGAGAGGGGTGACTCCTCCTGGGACTGAGTCAGTCGTTCGGAAGAGATGATCGGTGTTGGGGTTGGGCTCTCCGCTATCAGACTCTGCCTTTTCACTTTCGGTTATCTTCGTTATTGGCAGGCTGTTTATTTATAGCTGCCCACTTGCCATCTTGCTAATAAGTTATGGGGTTTTTTTAATATATTTATTAGATTATTAGATTTTACTATAAAAACGATAAGCTGGTAATAAGAAACTACTTTTATTACAGTGCATATGAGTTGCCACGGATTGGGGTTGGACTTGGATTTGGGTGAGAACGTAGGCAAATGAAAAATAAAAAATGACGTGACAGGGAACGTTACGGGGGTCCAAAAGAGAGGATTAGCCTCGGAATTGTAGTTTTCTGATCTGAGAATGGTTCCATTTTCGACACTAGCAAAGGCAATGCGTGGGCACGATATCTACATGTGCATAGTAATCACCATCATCCGCTGATTTGTTTAAAATTTTTTATAAGTAATTTTTTAATTATGAATTACAGAATTTTATATGAAATTTTTTTTGCCTTGAACCCTCAACTTATATAGAAGTACTTATAAATAATGCTGCTTATTCAGCTAACATACTTAAGTGGCGGAGCCTACTTCCACCTTATTGTGTTTCCGATCCCGATGGTGATGGACTGATGGCGCCCTATCCATCATCACCTATCCTTCCAAAAGCTAATAAAGCACTCTCAAGGGGAAGAGCCAGCACCCATATTCCATTCCATGCATAACTAACTTTTCACTTTTTCTTTATCTCCATTTCCTGCATTTTAGCTGTGACCCTGCGTCCTCCACCTATCCTTAATCTAAATTAACTGAAATTCAACATGCCTGTAGAAATCAGGCAATTTACTCAGAAAACGCGAATCTTGTCCTAATTAATGCTAAGTTTTTTCTAAATGACCACAATTTAAACAAACATTCCTCCCTAAAGAAAGAAACACTGGCGTGTCATAAATTCACACGGATGGGATTCACCCGTCAAGAGTAGAACCTGCAAACTGTGGTGCTGGGCGCTATTGACAGTGAATATTAAATACACACTTTAGTTACACAAATTATTTGACCCAGAAAAAATCAAACTATGATTAAGTTTGCACTTGTGCACCAAACATATGAGCAGGAATATCTTTTTAATAAAGATAGTTGCCTTATAAGGATATAAAAATAAAGTATTCAGAATACAAATTCAAGAAGAGGATTCTGTGGAGAGGACCCTCTTGTGAACAAGGAAATATCATGAGAAACTAGGAAAAAAATGGTAAAAAAAAAAAACTCTGGATAGAACTGGAGATATTGGAAGCAACGCCATTACATGAGCAGGGATTTTGAATGCGGTAAATAAGAAATTAGTTTTATTTTATTTTTAATAAATTCACGAAACAAATACGAAAGAAAAGGGATGGCGCTTGGATATCGAAATGGGAAGACATGTTATTCTTGAAAGGGAAAGAGTTGAAGGGGAATTCCATTCTACGACTTTGATGGGGATGCCCTATAGGATTAGGTTGCATATGAGGCCTCTTATTAGCCTACGAACACATTCTAAAAAAATTTAAAACACCACTATGCATTCAACCTGTATTATGATATTCTTCGGCCAAAAAAATTATATTATAATACAGTGTTAAAGCCTGACTCATAAAAAAGAGGTGATATCCAAGGCTAATACAGCCCATCAGATAGATTCTCAGCCAAGCATTTTTTTGGTATTATCCGTTTATTTTTCTGCTTGACCGAAACTTTCCAACGACGCATGCAAATTTATATTTAGCTTGGCATAAATTTATATACTTTAAGGGTCCGTGTTTCACTAAGAGTTAAACTAATCATTTAGAATAGCATACCCTACTTAGAATATATAAATATTCATATATATATATTTCGGTTCTAAATATAATATCTATTTTATACTGTAAATTATATAAATAAATTACATATAATCTAATAAAAAATAGTTAATGAAGTACACATGTGATGTGCAATTATTTTTTCTTAAACACAAGATTGAAAAAAATAAAATCAAACCTAGTCAGCATATCACAATCTCTAGACCCGACGAGTCAGAGAACTAGTTTATGGATTTATTGGTTCGGCTCACTTAATTGGGCTGGGTTTTCATATCATAAATCAGGAATTTGAATTAATTTTTATCGGCGGATGGTAGAGTTTTTTTATATAAAAAAAAAAGCCTCGTTTTTTTGAGCGTGTAGCGATGGGAAGACTCAATTTCTCTAATTAATGCAACCCCAATGTGTCCGCTGCCCTATTTTCCCCGGATAAAGGTTACTTCCTCCTTCTTTTATTACAAGATTTTAAAACTATATTGGACTGTATAAAAAAACAGTTAAAATTAGTTAAAAATAATTAATATATAATAAATATAATTTTTTTCTAAATATATCTTTATATATAAATAGGTAAACGTGAGAGAGTAATAGTATGATAAATGAGGAAAGGAAATATATTAAATGCATTAAAGTGGGAATAAAATAGATAATAAAATATTAAATGTTTAGATAAACTCAAAAATAATCTTATAAAAAGGGACAGAAAGAGTATAATTGAAAAAGCAGAGGCCAGAGATGATGGAATCATGCGATTAAGCTTTTTTTTTTTTTTTTTTACATTTTAAAAGTAGGCATGTGAATTGTCGTCTAAGTTTCCTTTTTTTTTTTTTTGGGAAAAACAAATAAAGAGTTTCGCATTCACAGCCGCCGGCGGCCAAGGCATCAGCCATCAGGTCGTCTGGTAATTATAAATTATTTATGACCTTAAATTGTTCAGTTTATAAAAGTGAGATGTAGCATTTAAGATCTTGTAAAAAATTATCTATTTTTTTTGTCATGACTCAGACATTTATTATTATTTTTTTAAGACTGGAATTTATAACCTCGTGTTAAAAAAAAACTTAAGAAAATATTTGGTGTTAGTTGACTAATTACATATGACAAAATAATATGAGATTTGATTTTTGTTTTATTTTAAAAGTCACATCCAATTAGGTTGATTTTTGGATGCAAGTTACTTAACTGTTTTTACTTTTTACTGTCGGGCTGAGAATAAAAAATTGTTAAAGCTTCAGAGGGAGCCAATTATTTGTACGGCTGTAAAATAAATGCACGCACGGAAATATCGCATGAAGATGGTATTTCTTTTTTCTTGATGAAAGGAGTCATGACATGCCAAAGTTGGTGGTCGTGGTTGACTGATATGAGATTCGAATGCTACATATTGATTATTTATATATTATCCTCGTTGCCTACTTGGCCCAATTATGGTCCCCCACGGGCACAATGAACTGGGTGAACAGATGTTTCACTGTGACTTTAATAGTTTATCTCAATCGCTCTCTTTGGGTTAAACTGTAATTTACCCTTCATGCGCATAAAAGAATTTATAATACATAAAATAGTAGAAAAGAATAATATGCTATCTATTATTCTAATTGTAAGACTTTATTTATACTCTACAAACAAAGTACTCCTCCGATCCTAATTATAAGACCCAATTGACTTATTTGAGGAGATTAAGGAAGTAAGTTAAGTTGGTTATTTATAATAAATAAGTGTTGTCATTCCTAAAATATCCTTACTAATTAAATATATTGGCTAAAACTATCATTATTAGAAGGATTATCTTGGAAAAAAATACATAAATATAAGAGACAGAATGGATTGGGTCTTATAATTAGGACCAAATAAAAAGTCAAATTGGATCTTATAATAAGGATCGGAGGAGTATTATAAATAAGACAGGAGATAGTAATAAACTAAGATCAAGAAAAACAAAAACAAAAAGTAATCGCTTTTTTTTTTTTTTTTCAAAGCACAGATGTTTAGTTTAGATAATTTGAAAGGAATTTTACTTAGGTATGACATGGACATATGGTCATGAATATTATCTTGAAACCAATCAGGACTTTATATCCCAATATCATCAAACGTTTTCCTTAAGTTTTTCTTGAGAGTAATGTTATGAGTTTGAATTCTCTTTATCATCTCCGATTGTTAATATGAGAGTTACTTAACTAATTTGATTATATTAAAAATTTTAATTAAGTTAGTTATTAGTAACAAGAATTAGTTAATTTTCTTAAAATACTTATTGTGACCATGACTAACTCTAGATGAAAATCTCCTTAATATGTGTGGTGAACAGCAATATTTCAGATGATAAATTATAAATATAAAAAGTAAAATAGACTGATGTCTCGTATTTAAAACTAAATTTAAATTGATGAAGCAATATAACAGTGGGGATTTAATAATAAGCGGCGGTTTCTGAAGGCGAAAAAAGAGAAGAGAAGAAAAAGATGATATGGTAAAGTTGTTGAATAGGTATGAGTAGGGAGGAGAAATAATGGGAGGGAATTTGGACACAATGATGAAGTCCACTGGAAAACGTTGCGAAGTGCATTGTTTTTCCAGTGTTATGAATGCGTAGAGTGCAGATTCTCCCACTCTGCTGCTGCCCCTCTACCTCTGAAACTTGCATTCAAGCCAACAAAGCTGCAAATGCGAAGAGGGAACCGGGGCCGGGGGTGGGGGAATGAACTGCGATTACTTTTGCGGATGGCACGCCTCAATCCGCCAAACGCCCACTTCTGACAGCAACAGGCTTTGGGTAGGCGAGGCACGCTTTTCACTTCAACTTTTACCTTTTATGTACTTGCGTCGCTCCCGCCTTGTTATTTCCCTGCCCCCCTCTCCCAGTGAAACATCGCCACAGCCTCACCTTCTTGCCTCCCACTACCAACAGTTCAGCCTGCCTACCTTTCCTTTTTATCCTGTTTGGTCTCCGATTCTAACTCACTTCATTCCTCCGGTACATGATTTATCCTGTACCCAGAAAAATGCATGGCTTATCATTTTAAAATAAAAAGGTCTCATTATCTTCAGCTTCGACTTGGGCTTGGCCAACTGGGCAGCCCTAACTGTATCGGGTTTCTTTGTGCCCCCTGATGGGGCCATCTTCCCATCCCGTTCTTTTGGGCCAAGAGGGATATGAGGACCACGGTTAACGTAGTTGATGCGCCCTTTCCGGCTCAAGAGTCCAAGAAAGGCACACGGTTCGGTCTACTTGGAACACGTGAAGCCTATTAGCCTAGAATGATGGGCAAGCTTTGTATCGAAAAGACATAAAAAGAATAGCGGGCGAGCTTCACCTGGGTCCCCATGCACGCGTAACGCTAACAGCGTGTCAGCTGCTAATAGGCCGTCCATACGGAAGCTAATTGTGATATTTCATCCATGCATTTTTGACAAATTGTACTTATCTCCATGCTGTATCCAATTATCAGACCAAAGTTAATAAATCTCGTTGGATTTCTTTAAAACAATTTTTCTATTGCCCAGCATTTACCAAGTTAGGGTTTGGGCCTGGGTCTCACGGCCTTATTTAAAGATAACCACGTTCTTTTTACCTAACCACCATTCTGTAAGCTCTTTGAAATCATTGGATTACGGCAATTAAGGTGGTTACAAATAAACATTCCTCCTGTCCTTAATATAAGACCCATTTAACTAACTTGATTAGATTAAGGAAGTTAGGTAAGTTAGTTAATTATAAGAAAGCTGACACATTTTTCCTAAAACACCATAATGATCTTTCTTAATACCCCCTCTCCCTCTTCTACTTGATTATGGTTAAGGGATATCCATAGGGGTAATTTAGAGAAAATTAATAAATATGATAAATGGGTCTTATATTTAGGACCAAAACCAACTTAAGAATTGGGTCATATATTAAGGACCGGAAGAGTATTTATTAGTAGCTATTGGGTTCGACAGTAACCATGCTCTAAGCTGAAAATCATCGTAGTCAACACAAAATTAAATATGATCTCAATAATTGTTAACTAAAGATATTGCAAAAAAAAAAAAAAATCGACCTCCATTCCTACCGGAGTCCTGCTAACTCAACCTGGGATAGGTAGGCGGTGCATGTTGAATTATTAGTCAATAAAAAAAGTTCTACCGTCTCGAAAATAATAACAAGAGAAGATCAGATTTTAAAATGTTACTATACAAACAAAAAAAGAGAAAAAAATCAATTTTTATTTATTCACGCAAGTAACTTGGCTTCTCCAGGAGATATATGATATAAATATCAAAATAATTTTTAAAGTTACAACTTTTTTATCTTTTAAATCCTGCTGAAACTTATTTAAAAGAACTGGAGGAACAAAGATTGACTGCGCAAAACTTAAAAAACGTCAAAAAGAAGAAAAAGGTTGTAGGACGTCTGGAAGCAGCCATTGACGTGTGCAGTTTTGGGCAATTAATTCATTATGAAGCCATTTCTACCAAATTCGAAGCAAGACCTAAATTTCCATCAACACGTGGCAATTGAATTCTTTTCGCGTGTTCAATTCCGTAAGGGCTTACGCCTGAGCCCTCCAGTTTCTTTTTTTGGGTGGGGGGGGGGGGATGCGGTGACCAAAATGAGCTTTCTGGTTTATTGCAACTTGCGGGGGCGAAACGGCAAAGGCATAACATGCGTCGAAACGGCAAAGGCAGCCTTTCGCTCACGTGGTTCTTGACCCAAAACGCGGCAGTGAATCCAGGCCACGTGTACGAGTCATAACCCTCCAACTGGAATTCACGCGCCGACAAAATCCAACGGTGCTAACGCTCAGTTTTGTGCCACGCAGCCATACCGCGCCTGCTTATACACACGGGAATATTCTGCGCCACGCAAAATGAATAATTCCCTTTTATCCCTGGTGTAGCCGAGAGCCCTTGTAATTGTAAACCCAATCTCTCGCCTCGCGGATGTGCTTCTGAATCTTGGCTTCATATAAAGCCTCTCTTTCCTGCGTTTGCTTCTTTTATATATCATCCCGATTCCTCTCGGAGAGAGAACTCTTTCAATCTACCCTAGAATTTTAATGGATTGTTCACTATTCAACTTGACCCCAGAGTTGTTGTTCCTCTACCCCTCCTCGATTCGATTTTACTCCATCGATCTCATACTTTTGCAGCTTTCTGGTTCTCAGATAGGAATTCATTTTCGTAATATTGTCTGACAAAAAACTTGCAGTTTGAGGAGCCGTCGCGATGGGAAAGCGTATGACACCTGACTTCTTTTTCTTTCCGTTCCTAGGGTTTCTGCTTATCTGGTCGCTGGGGGCTTGGAATTAGCTTCTTTTTTCGTATTATTTGTTTCTTGAAAGGAACCTATGAGGGTAATTATAGCTTTCGGGGTGCAATTTGTTCTTGGGTTAGTTTCAGCGCTATGCGCTGCTTAAAGTTCTGCTGCTGCATTCTTAACACCTGAGGACTACAATTTTCAAGCTTCTTGGAAGCTTTTAGGACTTTGATTAAATGTGTGAATTGGATGATGATGTTCTGGTTATCCCTCAGGTAATTCTCAACGTAAAAATGCTGCAATGATGGATAGCGATGACGAAAGTAGTAGTGTCAGTTCGTCGTCCACTGTCCGGTCTGATCGCACGTCAGTGTTGGGTAATGAAGAAGTGCACGTTGATCAAGATACTGTGCTTGACAAAGCTCTCGATGCTTTGGATGAAAAGAGGTATTTCCGTTGGCATTTATGATGTCTCCCTCTGGAAATTGTATAACCTTTAAATGATGAGATTAGACTAACTTGTAGAATTCGATGGTCGGTTTTTGCTTGGCTAATGCCAGCATTCCGTTTTTTCTCCTTCGTTTTGGGCTGAGATGATGATATTTTTAATTGGATATAGGGGTTCCACGAGGGAGAAAGCATTGTCGCTGATCATTGATACATTCAACAGCAGTATGCAGCACCAGTTCGTCGAAAAGAAGTAAGCATTTCAGTCATTTGATTTTTAGCTTCTGTTATACGACTGCTTTCTTTCGACCTCTTATTACTCACAGAACGTCGCATCAATGAAGACAGGTTGATATAAGTGTGCTTTATCAAATTCAACGATATATTTTGTTGGTGATGCCCCTAGTTGCTGGCTAGCTTTAATTGGCCTTTATCGGTTGAATTTGAGTTAGGCTATAGTTATTTTTTCTAAATATAAAAGAAGATATCAAGTCAGAACCAAAATTCTGAATTAAACACATTTGTGACCAAATGTGTGTTCCTCTTCCCTGATTCTGTTCTTTTATGTTGTACTTTTATGACCCCCCCTTTTTTTAAAAGTTACGGTGTTACCTGGATAAGTTATATGCATGCTGCGTATTAATATCAAGTATGAGTTAAATGTTTTAATACGCCCAGCCCAGTTATATATTTACCTATTTATTTTCGGCATGCATGATCTGTAGCTTTGAGTTGCTTCTGTCTTTCAGATTCGCTACCTTGTTGCATCAGTGTCTTGGAGCCCTTAAGAAAGGATCCAAAAAGGCATCTGCAAACGAAATAGCCCTGGCAGCTCATGCCATCGGTAAGTCTTTGTTGAATTAACTGTGTTCGATATCCTTATATTTTACCTCTTTTTTTTTTTTTTTTTTTGTTTTGGGGCGATTTTTTTCACTTCAATTTGCATTGTTTCTTTCATAGGTTTATTGGCGTTGACGGTTGGATGTGGTGATAATGCACGTGAAATATATGAAGAATCTGTTCGTCTTCTTGATGAATCTCTGTCTGGCTCAGATGCTTCAAAGATATCATCTGTAAGTAAGAATTTGAAAATCATGCTGGGTCTAGTGCATGTATTTGTATTTTCCATACTGATTCTTTGGGGTTTTTCATTTTGAATTTTATCTTCTTTGTTCATTTGTGTTTACAGTTGGTGCGATGCTTGGCTATTACCACTTTTGTTGGTGGGACTGATCAAGAGGAAACAGAGAAATCAATGGACATAATGTGGCGGTTGATTAATCCTAAATTGGGTTCCAATGTAGGTGTAACTTTCAAATATACTTATGAGCGTTTTTAGTCCCCCCCCCCCCCCAAAGCTTTGTTCGCAAGTTTTCTGATCAAACCTTGTAAGTAGGATTAACTCAATAGTATGATTTGTTTCTACTAATAATTTAGTCCTTAATTGCTTTCAGTGCTTCATAATGTTGAAATATGAATACAAGACTTCTTTATTTTGATATCGTTATTGTCCTTTTCTCCTTAAAGTTGACTTCTATTACTTTTTTTAGGTTGTTTCAGTCAAACCTTCACCTTCGTTAATAACAGCTGTGGTATCTGCTTGGTCCTTTCTCCTCTCCACCGTGGGCAACCTGAAACTAAACTCCAAAAGCTGGCAAAAGTAAGCAGAGTTTAGCGTTGTGTGCCCTGTTTCTGTTATCTTTCTGCATTAATTTGTTTTGAAGATGTGCATTTTTAATTCTAGTTAAAAAAGAACATGGATAGCCAGCCGATCCCTCTTTATGTCGCATATTACTAATGAATCTGACCAATTTCTTTTTATATTATTTTTTATGCAGTTCAATAACTTATTTATCTAGTCTTCTAGACAAGGAAGACAGGTCTGTGCGTATCGTAGCGGGTGAAGCTTTAGCTTTAATATTTGAGGTTGGAGTTATAGAGAAATCTTCTGCTGGTCCTAACAGTGCAAGTGACACAACTCAAGAAGAGACCAAACCGCATGAAAGTTATGTGCATATCCATGGATTGAAGGGGAAGGTCATCAAACAAGTTAAAAACCTTGCTGTGGAGGCTGGTGGAAAAGGTTCTGCAAAAAAGGATCTTAACACTCAGAGGGACTTGTTTCGTGATATCTCAGATTTTTTTGAGGTACTTTAGTTGCCTTTTAATGTTATGATGTGGAAATGTTTTTACTAGTTATTGCTTGCACAAGGATTTGTACTGATCTTACCTTTTGATACTGTATTAGTATGGTTATTCTCCTGAAATCACGACCAAGGTTGGCGGTGATTCACTGCAGACATCATCATGGTCTCAAATGATACAGGTTTTTCTTCTGTTTTTCAATATTACCTAGGGAGCTTTGTTTTTCTTTCCATATTAGTGTTCTGATCATTGGAATTTTGCAGTTAAACTTTTTCAAGCATTTCTTAGGAGGAGGGTTCATTAGGCACATGCAGGTTGTCATTCTATGACTATTCTTCTTTAGCTTCTTGGTTATCTGTAAAGCTTATTTTTAGACAAAATGGTTATTGCTTGCTTATATTTATCTTCCTCTTTCTGTGCGAAATAGGAAAATGAGTTCCTTCATGATGTTTTTGAGTTCACACCGAAGAGAAGAAATCTTGTTGACGATGAACATCGGATGTCTGTTGGTGAAAAGGTAAGTTCTTGACAATTTGGCTGTACTTAGCTGTAACCCTTTGCATTATGTTTTTAGTTTTCCTCTTACTCGTTCAATATTACTTGTCATCCTCTGATCTGCACCATTTTTTCTTGCAGAGAATGTTCAAGTCTCCGAATTCTGTTGTGAACAAGGCAAGGACCCAATTACTTAACAAGCAGCGGTTGTTATCTGAGGTGAATATCCTTCCCTTATAAAGAGCTCTCACTCTTTACCTGCATATTGCTGTGCTTGGTGATAAATGCTGCACTTAAATTACTTTGAATTCATGATTATTCGGCTAATAAAGTGGGAAAAGTCTTTGATTGTGCTTGTGGTTATCTTCGTGTGCAATCCCCGGGCGGCAGTCTTAGACTCTCCGGTATAGGTCCATCCACGGGAAGTTTCTCAAATTCTCTGTTATGGGGATTTATTAGACCCGCTGGGACAATAGTTATTATGGTTTGCTTTTGTTTCCGAACATAGTTGTGTTGACATATACTGCTTTTAGTTATTTCCTCGTGTGCTATCCGCGTAATCTTCGATCATGCGGGCTACTTTCATATACATTTTGTCTTGATCTTTAGCGGGGTGCCTTTTTTTAATTTATTTGTGCCTTCTGGTATGACAGGGCAGGAACTTCGGCCACTACGCGGTCAATGCGGTTGAAGAGGAGGCTTGAGCTTTTGATTGGAATATTAATAATTTACTGGGATCAGATCAGACTGATGACATTACGTGTAGATTGCCCCAAAATGACTCCATGAATACCTTGTATACCTTTTTTCTTAAAGTCAAGACACAGCGAATATGATTGAATATGCTTTTGGTTGTGCAATGATATCCGGTTGCGTTTTATTTCCCGTCCTCATAAACAAGGTCGTATCGCCTCCGTCTTTCACCCCAAAAAAAGAGGCAGCTTTTCCCCCCGGGGGGGGGAGAGGATCCGCAGAGAATATTTTGAGCCAATTTATTTTTCCATTATTTTGTGACTTATCCACCAGAAAAAGATACTGAAATCCACAACAAACAAAAAAAGGATTATCTTGTGACTTCAAGTATAACCACTCTAGGTCTGGGGTCATGTGACCTCTGGAGCTGTTGAGTAATGCGAACCCTGCTATTTTTTGAACTATCGAATGTGAAAAATGTTTTGTTTGAACTAACTTAGCTGTTGTCATCAGAAATAAGTAACCATTTTTCTCAATTGAAAACTGTTGAAATGCTTAAAATTTGAAACTGAAATTCCTCTCCCAAAAAAAAAAGTCTTGAAACAAAAAAGTTGGCTTGAGGCTTTATTGATCTAATAGGGAATTGCCTTGGCCAAATGGTTCATTTTAAGTTGCACTGGTGATTAATACTCTTTCCGATTTTATGGCCTCAACCAGAAAGTGTCTAAATAATTATATATAGAATTTAGTTAGGATTTAATGATTTTCTACCCTTGTTAACTTATTAAGCAACATTGTTATAAAGAAGCAATGCAAACAGATAGGAAGGTTGAACCTAAGTTGAGGATGTGTAGATCAATCGTCTCTCATATGTTGGAATTGTACGTCGATGTATGGCCGAATTACTAAAACAACTTGAAATGAAGTAGAACTTCGACACAACGCCGTTAGTTCAGTGTCAGGGCTTATTGTTTATTTGAAATTCATAGTTTACAGGAGTTTTTAATTTGGTCTCCAGTACCAGTAGATTTACAAAATTTTCCGATGAAATCTCTGCAAGTGTCTGTGCCAAAAAAAAAAATAAAGAAAAAAAATTTCCGCAATCGTATTCCAGCCAAGAAACTGGTTCAGCGTGGCATCGACGCAAGAAACATTTTAATAGGAATGAATCCTCGGTGGTGAAGTCTGAGTTGCAAGGAATGTTTGAGAGCATTTGGATTGCTTTCCATTCCATCAATCGAAGCACGCTTTCTTGATGAGGCTGTCACCGCATATTAGCAGTGGCATGCGCTGGTCAAGCGGGGGAATCTGGGTCCACGAAGGTTAGCTGTCCTACAAAAGAAATTTAGATAGCCTTCCTCCTAGGTTGCAAACTCCACTCGGGTCTAATATGGAAGAATCAATAGTTTTGATGACACCAACCCCCTAGAGAAGGATAGCAGTTGGAGAACTTGTGTGGTTTATCGAGCAACAACGTAATCGCATGTCCTTAACATTGCTTGGTTATTAAATGCATAGCAGAAAGTAATATCTATATAGAATTACTGCTTCATTCTGTTCCTATATGTCCTTAACATTTTACTAGTTCAATTAATGATGATACACAAGTTTGGGCTCCATAGTGGTAAACAATTGAAGGTATGCCGTTTGTTTGATCGGAGCCTTTCTTCGTATAATGGAATTTTCATATATGTTAATTCCAATCAAAGAAAACAAAGATGAAGCTGAAGTAACAGGAGAGAAAAAAGAAAATAAAAAGAGCACCAGACTAAATCCTGAAATGATAGTTGTTTCCTTTCCACCACCAGTTCGTTTCAAACAAACAAAAACAATCTTGGTCTGGAAAACAATAAATTTGACTGATGAGGCAAGAGCGATGAAGACCATTTGCTCATCCTTGGAACAAGGGAAGATGGCAGCTCAGGGACTATGACTCGACCTATATTTTCACTGCAACACCAAGAGAAATATTCTCATTATGATCAATGTGCAGAAAACGGCTGAAATAATAACTTGGCCTTGTTTCTAGGTTAACAAAATGAAATCTTATCATTGCCTTGTTAATTGCTAGTTATATAGTTTAGTTGTCTCAGACTTTGTTCCTAGTAGTCAGTACTATTCATGGCCCGTTTCAAGGAGGAAGAAACGCAAAATCAAGCCTGGCTTCAACAGGTGGGTTTGCTAGGTTTCTCTATCCCTGTTCAATCAATTTTGTCCAAAAAATTCAAGCACAAGCCCGGGTAGGATCAAAACAATCCGTCCAATAGATGAATGGAGCATTTATTTTATGTTCTATTGTGTATTATTCAGAGTCGATTGTCTTGAACTGAAGCATGTGGATTATAGGATCAGAGAACATAATTTAGAAAATTGGAATGAAATGCATGACCAAAATAATAGACCGCCTAATTTATGTTTAGATCATTCACCTTACATGCAATTAACAGTTGACTCCCAACAGACAAGTTGTCCAACCTCAACCCATCTGCACTGAATCCAGAAAAGAAGGAGTCGAAACGTGTTACGAGAACAGCGTGCATGAGCAACGCAACGAAGTAGCACATAAAACTAAATGGAAATAATTATGTAGAAGGTAAAATTTTAAAGGTGGTGTAAAGTATAAACTCTTAATTAGGAAGGGTTGAATTCCTCTGGCAAAAAAACAAAAAAAAATCACTGAATTCTCCTAGGATTAGATGTTAAGACAGAGTATGACCAATTAAATGAATTAATACTGGTCCAGAAACAAATGAAATCTTGAATGGCCGAACCTCTATTTATTGGAGTTTTCAGGTTGCTTTCCTGTTCCTTGTTGCTGTGCAGCCCGTCCTGCTGGAGAATCTTCACTGTTTTCTTGCCTGCAAACATATAAAGCATTATAATAAATTTTTTCTCCCTTGCTTTCATTTCATGCATTTCATAATTCCTATGGGAAGGATCTCCGCAAACATATCATTCATATATGTATGACACACGTGAGCGCTCATTTAAAAAAAAAATCATCAATTTACGTTACAATAAGCCCCCCAAGTACCATAATGAAGTTATCTATGATCCCTCTTGCCGGTAAAATCCAAAACAGAACAGAGAATCATATTGAGATATCAGCACGTTATTATATTTTGACATGAAAGCAGAGATGACCTTCAGAAACAAAGTAACAACCATTGGAACTTTAATGCAGGACATAAACCCGCAGCTCAACAATCAAAAGAAATCGAATTGATATTTGCACAGAGAATAGGGATGGAAACATTCAAAGGCGAATAAATTGGATGCATAACTGTGAGAACACAAGATAGATTCCGAGAAGATTGTGGGTGGGTTCCTATGAAACCAAAAAACCATGAAACAGTAATACGAATTGAATACAATAAAAGGCATGTTATGAAAGGCGCATGATGACAAGAAGATGAAGGTGGAATGGGAAAAAGGAAGGGGAAGAGAATGCCTTTTCTGGGCGGCTTCAGCAGCTCTAGCGCGCGCTTCTTCAGAGGCCAATCTCTCCTCCTCCTTTGTCATACGCTTGTTGCCTCCGCTGAAGCAACCAAAGCACAGCCCCATGTTCCTGTCTGTCTCCCTTCCCTCTCTCTCCCTCCTCCTCCTTTCTCTCTCTCTTCTCTTTGTCGCCTTGCCTTCCCTACAAATCTGTCTTTTCCTTTCTTTTTATTTTTTTCCCTCCCATTTTCAGTTTTGCTTCCCCTTGTTTTCTGTTTCTCCTTTGCTATATTCATTCCGCGTTACCTATGTTTGTTACGTACGTACCATCTTTATCCCCTAAATGCCAACCTTCAAGCCCCCCAACGCAGCTAACTTGCTGGCTCCCTCGAACCGTTCTTCTCTACGACGTCGTTTTCCATCCGGGTCTTATGCGACGCCGTTTTCGCCTCCCTGGCCGCCAATGGCCTCCCTTCTAGGTTCTGGCATCGGGGCGGATTCGGGATTATATGCGGCGAATCTTTCAACCGCAAGTTTGCTAAAATAACACAGTGGAGCCAGAAGAACGCAAGGCGGGGGCATAGATATGAGCACACAACCGTTAAACTTGGTGCGTCCGACGACATCGTTAGACATTGAGAACGGCCTCTCGCTTGTCCCGCGCATAAAGCTCAATCTTACTATCTATCCCTCTGGCTTCACTGTCACCAAACCCATCGACGAGTGGAAGATCAAGCGAGCTCTAGTTGACTTTCTCAAGACCTCGCTTTCTACCCCCATTACTGTTCCCGAGGAAGATGTCCACATCAAACGCCTCAGAGACCTGAAGAAGCGCAAGCGCGATGATCCAGTTGCCACAGGAACACTGCACATCTGGGACCTAGGGTTTCTTGACGATCGGAGTCGGAAGGATACTGAGGAAGAGGGCGTGAAGGATTTGGACAAGAAATTCTTGGAATGGAGAAAGTATCTTGTTGAGAAGATGGAAGGCATCGAGTTGAACCTGGAAGGAGTTAAGTTCAGGCTTTCTGTATCTGTTCCTGTTTCAGATGATTTTGAGGGTATGAAGAAATCGTGGGAGGAGTTTTATGCATTTGGCAATCGAGGTGTGTGTTTGCGGTTCAGTTAAAATGTGCTTTCGAGTGAAAGAAATGGAATTTGTGTTTAAATGATTGAACTTTGGCAGGGTATTCCAGAGGGAGGCAAGAACCGGATACAATTACTCTTCGAGGTCTACCATCGCGGTGGTTTTCGGAGCCAAGGGTTTCGTCTAAGCCTTCCATGCTTGTTACTCACACGATCTTCTCGGGATTTGGCAAGATAAGGTTAGTTTTCCAATCGTCCATGCTCTCGTTATTGACCGAGTTTCATTATTGATCTCTGTACTCTTGACATAAATATTTTCTTGTATAAAATTTCGGATATGATTTAATGAGAAAATTCGGCATTATAAAAAAAAATTCGGCATTTTGACTTGATTATTGAAGACTACGCTACCAAAAAAAAAAAAAAAAGTTGAAGACATGCTTGAGTTTGAAGGTGATCAATGAATTTTACAAGTTAATAGGAATTTTTGAGGAGCATATTGCTAAGCAATCTAGATTGCATCTTGATGAAGATTGGATTGAATATTTTGCTTCGCGCCTTTTATTTTATTTCCTTATTGTATTGCATCTACATGAGCCATGTTTTGAATCTCCACCCCAGATTGATGGCTTTCCTTGGTGGTTTGGATAGCCTCCTTGAGGCGCCAAAGGTCGTCAGATGTAATCCCTTAGTTTGGTCCTTGCTTGTCCCTCTGAGACCCTCAGATCCTAAGTATGCCGCCGGCAGCGAAGTAAGAAAGAACAACTTGTTGAAGACTAAGAACAAGATAAAACATCAAAGCTTATAGGCGTTATGAGCTTTCTAAATCTGTAGTTCCTTTGCAAGACCAGTTTAAGATGATAACCCACAGAACCTGACGGTTCATAGAAAACCCAAGTTGCTTGTGCGATATCTTTATTTGCGACTCAATTGTCTGCACTGTTAGTTATCTCCTTATTGTAATTTGTATATCCTTCGTTTGATCTATAACTTGAATGCAATAGGAATCTTACTGTTGCTGAGGACGATGATCTAGGTAAGGATGCAAATGAAGAGAGTGAAGGTCTAGTTTCAGGCCTCTATTGCAAGATTGTGGTTCAGTTTGAGAAATACAGAGACTTCTACGATGCTTTAAGAGTATTGTGCGGCCGATCCTTACAAAAGGTACTAGCCTGGCTTCTGTGCAATTTTATTTGCGTTTTTCTTCAGTTATTGTGAATTACGCACATAACCAATTTATTACTTGGCATTAAAACTTAATATCATTATGTTCATGTGGTTGTATCAGTGGATCATTTATACAGATAACTGGTCCAATTCATCGCGCTGGCACTAATAAGAAACAAAAAGAATGTTGCCAACCGTAACTGAAACTAGAATTAGGAAGCATTTTGCATGAAGAATACCTTACTAGTATGGAAGCTGGGATATTTTACTAAATTTTGATGATTTGAGTCGTTAATGAACAGCAAGGGTCACACTTAAAGGCTGATTATGAAGTTGGGTGGGAAAAAGATGCACCTTTTCGGAATTCGAGGAATCAGATACAAGAGAAGGATAACAGAAGTGAAGCTCCCCGACGCCACTCCTACAGCTCCCGCCACAGTCCAGAGACCGTGCGCCCAAGGAGATTCAAGGTTAAATTACTGTAAAATCGATTATAGCTTACAAGTGTTCCATCATTTGACTAAAAACCCTTTATGTGATGCAGGAATAAGGAATCTTCATTTTAATCTTGGACTGAGCTACGGAAAATTTGACTCCGGATTGTTGTGGTATGTGGACTGCAGCCACTTTCTTTTGAAGAGAGACTTGGACTATCTGGGTCTAAGTCAAGGACGTGGTTTTACTGGGTGCATTGTATTATTGCTGTTGCTAGAAGGAAACATTTTCCCCGGGGTTGGCCAAAATCCATGACGCAGGTTGGATGAAAGTTAAAGCAATTCAAATGTGAAGTAGATGATATTTTCACCTTTTGTTCCTATCGATATATCTTGTCCTTATTCTAGATTGCAAGATCCAGGAACCTCTGTTTATGCATTCTGTCTGATATTGCTATTGCTAAAAGGAAACATTTTCCCCAGGATTGGCCAAAATCCATGCCGCAGGTTGGATGAAAGTTAAAGCAATTCAAATGTGAAGTAGATGATATTTTCACATTTTGTTCCTATCGATATATCTTGTCCTTATTCTAGATTGCTAGATCCAGGAACTTCTGTTTATGCGTTCTTTCTGATATTGCATTGGTCATGAAACTTATCGATTTGGGTAGGATGACAGCTGATCCATATAATATTACGCAAATTTGGCTAGGCCTAATCAATTAATCAGTTGGGAAAGGAGTTGGATGATGAAGTGCATATGGAAGGAGAAGAGTGAGATTGGATTTTTAGATATTGACATGGCTACTATACTGGAAATTTAACCTAATAAAACGGCACATTTAACTCGTTTATTGATAGAAGTTTGCCAAGTGGAGACTAATTGATGAGTTGTAAATACACACTTAAATACGTCTAAGATAACGCTCGTCAAAATGTGTATTGAACATATTTATTACGCTAATCGAGACGCATATTATCTTGATGCGCCAATGTTTCACGGCTTCTTAACCATGTCCTCGCAGAAACTACTTATGGGCTCGGCTGGATGGAGCCTTTTAATTAGCACGTCACATTGTTTTTAGGTAATTCTGATTGGGTGGTATATTGGCTTCGGATATTTTCTCGATTACCAGTTGCGTTTTCCCTCAAAAAGCTTACCTCATCTACTGCCTCCGTTGGCTTAAGTCGTTTTTGACTAACTGAACAAAATCAAGACAAGTTAGTTAAAGCAATAAACTTATCTTAAATTTGCATCACTTTCTGCTTTTACCTCTAACAAAAACTTATCAAATACTTTCGTATTAGATTGGAATATGATTAGCAGGGCATTTATAGATTACTCATTAAATACTACAGGACAAAAACGAGAAATGAGTTACATAAAGTATCGTGACTCCCTTCTTCTCGAAGTTGAACCTGAGGAAAGATTTTGCGATGAACTGGTTTCGGTTAAGCTTCATTAATTGCTGAGGATTGACGATGTTTTTCGCTGGCTTACCTGCCCCACTATTCCTTTGAAAACGACAGACTAGGTTACCACCGCATTATATTGGAATCAGTTTCAATGCTCATCAAACTTATTAGATCTAAACCATTCATATCTGATTCGTTTAAATTTAAAATTTTTAATTAATTATTTTTAAATAGAAAGAATTATTTTTTTGAAAGAATGATAGTTACAAGATTATTTCTATTTTAGATTTTATATATTTTAAAATAATTATTTTAAATAAAAAAATTAAATCTGGATGATTCAAATGAGATACGGATAATTTGGATTTGATGAGTTGGGATGCTCATCAGAATCAGAATGATAAGCAGTGAAACTGGCTCCCATTAGATTCAACTGCACAATCAATGATTTCTAAACTGAGATGAAGCCGGGACTTGCTTCACGGAACGATAATTGAAGCAGACAACTACTTGATTTTCACAGTTCTTAGGCAAATAACCATAACCTGAGATGGATTAACATCTCAATCTAGCTCTACCTCCATAATCGATTCCATAATTTACAGCTCGTGAAGACCACGAATGAATTTTCAACCCCGCCTCAAAGCACGTCGTCATGAAAACGAACGCGTATACGCACAAACAAAATCCTAACTCATGGAGGTAAAAAGTGAAAGGAACAAAGGAGATCAGTTGAATTCACCAGCTTTTCTGGCGGCCAAATTTTCTTGGAGGCGTGTCCTCGGAAGCCGCAGCCTTCTCACTCAGCCCTCTTCTATAACGTTTCTTCTTCATGATTGACTTTCTTGACGATGAGCTATCCTTGACTGTGGTGGCTGTGTACCACAAAATACAAGTGCAAATAGTTGCAACTGATCGACCAAACACCGTCAAGAGCCCCAAAATCATAATCAACATCACCGGTAGATAGAAAGAAGGGCGGCTCCATACATTGCAACAGAAATTCTTCTTCTCTGCCTTCTCATTAGATCCCAACTTGGACTGTTTTGGCACTTCCACGGCAGCAGGCTCTTCCAGTATTGGCTGGGAGTTTGATGCGACATGTCGTACTTTGAGTTCTTCACTCTTGTGCTTCTGGTCCTTCCCTTTCGCTTTGATAACAATCGGGACGAAATCATTAGAACTGGACTTGGAGGACACGAAGCGAATAAAAGAGATATCCTGCGGCCTCGCCTGGGAGTAAATCTCCTGCCTTTTTCTGTCAAGATCAGCTAAAAGTGCAGAAAACTGGTCCAAGCCTCGGGTGGAATATGGGTTTTTGTTCCTGCTCTTCCTGGATTTTCTTGGACTATCCCAATAAGCCTCATCTTCTTCTTCTTGATGAAAGTTGCCGCACACCAAATGATTCAGCATGTGGAAGGAACTTGGAAGCACAGGTTTTGGCGTGAGGATGTTTAAGGAAGGCATATATGAACTATGGTTAGATTAATTGACTACAGAGGAGGGAAGACTTAGAATGAGCGCTATTCAAAGTCCACGGAGAAGATTGAATTTGAGAAGGGGGTGAGTGAGAAATCAGGAACTTGGAGACGAGCTTTAATTTAATCCTATAGAAGTTTCCGACTTTGATTTATTGGATAGAAATTAGAAGAAAACAAACAGTGCCTCAGAAATAGAAAATAATGGAACATGTTACTTGTGGAGAATGGCGATGAACAAGTCTATGATTCATTGGTATAAAATTCCAAAACAATGCTATAGTCTGTTTTATCCAATACATCAGAATGTCTATATCTTCTAGAAGCAAGTTGAAATATATCTCGCTGGCTACTTGCCAACGAAATAATTGTGTTTAATGTATTATTAAAAAAAAATATAAAATTCATTTTAGTTTTACGTCTAGTCCAATAAAAATGGAAGGCAAAATATATAAAAGAAATTCGCAGCACTAAAATCATGTTGAAAAAAATAAGTTCTTTTGCATAAATAGTATATGTCTATGTGAAGAAAACTAATTCTTACAAATCTTACATCAAAGCAGGACATACTTGGATATTTCCTATATTCGAATTTCGAAAATAAGACTTCAAAGGTGATAATACCTTTTTTCATTCTAAAACTTCCTTTTTTTGGGCAAAAAAAAAAAAATCTAAAACTCATTTTTGAATTGTATTTTTTTTTTCTTTTGACATCTTTTGAATTGTATTTTCAAATCATGCTTAGGATGATAATCAATGTCGGTCTGAAAGAAATTATATGTCAGGTCGGAATAAACTATATACACATTAATATATACGGATGTGTCTATGTATATGTATTCTTTTCAGATGTATGTGCAGCCTAAAATAAGAAGGATAACAGTAATCTAAAATTTTGAAATATTAATGAAAGACTCTGAACTCTAATGACAATAAAAATAAAAAAAACAGGCCAATTGACCAAAACATATTTAATTATTTAATTAAAGAAATGAAAGCATGTGGAGGAGCCCATACTATCTAGAAATTAAAATCAAAGTACATTTTTTTTAAATACTACTTAAAAAGATACAGGAGTATGTTAAGTTACATAAGCAGGGTTTTCAACACCTGTCGGCTGTGTGGGATAAAAAAAATAAAATAATGGAGGACTTAACCATACTATATTCGCTATCGTTTACTAGAAAATGCATTCTCATTTCTCAATGGCCGCAAGGAAATTGACTATGAATTTCTCGTCAATTAATCTCCCTATTTCCCAAGGAACAAAAAATCAGACCCGGAACTAAACCGGTCGAGACAGTGGGTCAAGGGTTACTGGTGGGACTGTGGTCAGACCGGTCATATTAAAATAATGTAATTTAATTCATGATGTTAAAATAAAACAAAATTCATAAATAGTAATAACTAAAATTTGATTCCTCTGTTGCATTCTGTTTGCCCTCTGTACCCATTTACACAACACAGCCAAAATTTGATTACGCTGTGCACATCAATTTTCGTAGTGTGTGTATGATGAAAGGCAGCTTATCCATGAGAGAGCAAAACAAAGATTGCATGTGTGAGATTGTGGGTGGAGGATTAACCTACAAATCACCCATACTGTGGACTCTGTGAACTAGACTGTCATTGGAGTTGAGAAACTTGGCAAACAGAGTAGAAATAGGGTTGCGATTTTCATACTTATGGAGCGAGTGGTTGCTCTTGCTCCTCTGCATCAAGCTCGGCCGTTGAGTTATATAGGTGGCCAGCGAACTTGGCGAGCCGTAACTGTTGCAATTGCTGCTGCAACTATTATTGTTGAGGCTCATGTCTGAGTTGAGTAGCGAGTCGAAATTAGTGACAAAGAGCTAGTCCGGAATGAGGTGTTGCTAAGAAGTGGAGATGGAATGCACTGACGTAGCCGAAGGATAGGGTAGTGGTGGTGTGGTGGCTGCGGCTGCTGACAACAAATGAGCGATGGAGTTGGCGAAAGGAAAAGGCTGAGCAAGGAACTCTACTGTCAATGATGCCAAGGAGTAGGGATCTTGGAGAAGGCGATTTTGGCTTGGGGGGGGAGCCTGCGCTGCATGAGCTAGAGGGGAATCAAGGGAGGGAAATGAGGGAACTCGACAAGAAAAGAGAAGAAGGAGTTTTTTTTAAAATTAAAACATTGTCATTTTGAGATTTCTAACAGGCAAAAAAATATAAACTCGGTAACCCACCGAACCGGGGTTACCTGGTTTAATACCAGTTTTACTGGTTCAGTAGACTACCGGTCCACCAATTAAACCAGACCGGTTCACCGGTTTTTCAGTTAAACCGGTCGGTCTAGTTTGGTTTTTTTTCCCATGCTATTTCCCGCTAATTCATGTGGTGCCAGCAAGTGCAGCAACATCAAAATCATAATGACAATAATAATGGTGATCATTTTGATTGGGAAAAATAATGTAAATTACATATCAGCTTGCTCGTGACATGAAAATTACATTTTCATTTTAAAAAAAAATACTAAATTTTTCTTATAATGAGGTTTGGACATTTGTGTCATACTATCGCCTATTGACCTCAGCTGGGCCATGAAATATGAATGTTTTCATCATCATTTTTTTTTTTAATCATCACTAGGAAACTTAATATTAATTTACCCGAATTTATTTTTGAAGCAATCGGCCTCCTGATTACGGCGCCCATGATGTTATAAAAACACAGAGCAGCTCGTTCGAGTTTGAAATTCCTGAAATTCTAAACACATTTTCTACCTATAAAATACTAGCACACTTATCTCCAATCTTCGTGTCACAATATTACGCTAACGAACTAGCATGGAGGTTGACTTTTGATATTCTGACTCTCTCTCTCTCTCTCTCTCTATATATATATATATATATATATGTTTGTGCGTGTGAACATGATTGAATCATTTTAAAAACAATCTTAGCATTTCATTGAAGAACCTTGACAAACGCTCGAATATCTTCCATCTCAACCTGTTCGAATTTGCAAGACGCCTTAGTTTCTAGATAAGAATAAGCTGACGACTGACAAAAGGAAAGAGAAGTTAAAACATGGCATGAGAATGGAGGAGCAACAACCTGCTTTAAGTCCACTTAAAAACGTTGTAAAGTTTACAGCAACAGCTTCTAGATGTCTCTCTTTATGTTATCCCTGAGGGTGCCTTCTTCTCTATTCCACCTGGCTCCTTATGGATATTAAATTTGCTGTGATAAAACCCGCGGGAAAGTATCGTGTAACAAGAATTCGTTTTTCAAATATTACTCATTCGTTATTGGCCCAAAAAGAAAACCTCATTCCTTCAACAAATAACACCACCACTGATTCCCTTGAATGAAAAGAAATCCTGGGTGAGAATCCTCACATCCCTTTTTTGTTAGCCCCTTGGCAATGGGTCTCGTTAGTGTGGCTGGAGCAGGAGCCACTCCTGTCGCCCCATGAGTTAGCCACCGACTTTCTTTCCATCTGAGTAAGAAGATTGTGTGGGCTTAATGGATAATTATTGCGAACATGAAAATAGTGTCATGGCGTTAAGAGCCCAACGACAGGGAAGCGAAAATAATCTGCTGTCATAACATTGTGAGAAAAAGTGGAAATGAGCAGGTGCACCGCATTATCAGCATACCATATCGGTGAAATTAGAATTAGAATTCCAATACCTCTTTCATTGTATTCCAATATGGTCCAAAAATGGACATAACCACCGGTTTTTGGGGGCTGGGGTGTTTGCATGAGTAAATTAAATCGATTTTACATGAACACGACAATTTCATTTCAAGACCAACCATATTCCACTTAGTAGTAAATACCATATGAAAGTAAGATCCCGAACCACAAATTCAGCCGCCCCTCGCAGTTGAACTGTTCCGGGTGATTCTGTGAAAGAAACTGTCAAATTTGATGCTTTGATTGTATTCGCAAGAACCATTAATACCTGCAATAGGGGTCAAGACCAATTTGGTTGAGTCCAGCACTATTTGACAATCCCCACAAGCACAACAATAAATTAACAGTACAAGGATTAAAGTAAGCAACAGACTCACTAGGGTGTCATTCTCCTCCCAAAACGTTTCTGAACTTCCCCATCAATCATCATAATCAATGTTTTCACCATCCTTCATGTACTTCTCTTGCACTGCTGCAACTGTGGATTGTTGAGTTAAGGTGAAACTAAGAATTGAATGCTCTGAATAAAGCTTTGATTGGGAGAAGCAGCGAAGCATGCAATGAATTTGAGACATGCATATTAGTCCGAGCATAAGCTATTAGTATTCTAAAATAGCACAACTATACTCAAAATATCATTTCATAGATTTCAGTTTTGCAAAAATATGTAATTTCACATCTGCCCCCATTTTCACCTTCTTGATCCTTATAAAATCCTAGCGAAGGAGAAGATTATTTTGTATTGCATTTCTTACATAAATAAAACTAAAATTCATTCACTGAACAAAGGCTTACAGCAGCAAATCAAAACCCACCTTCCTTATTCATTTTTCTATTGCATTTCAATTCTCCTCATTTTCATTTCTTCCATTTTGTATCCCTATTTATTTTGTTCTCATACAACGGCCAAAAGCAAGAAATTCTGAGTCATAGTCCAACTGTGTTAACCCCATTTTAAGTTGTAGCGATGGGAAGATACATAAAAAAGGCTAACATGCCATCACATAAGACAACTTAAGAATGATAGGCCAGAACTCTACCATTGTGTTATCCTTTATTTTTATTCTACCATTACCTCATCATCATGACCACTCAATAAGGCTACCCAACAGCAGAATAAATTTTAGTATAAAACAGCATATAACAGAAAAGCATAATTCTACAGAACAGAGGTAACTCTGTCATGCAACAATACAAGGATATCTATAATAATCCCAATCAACAGGGCCAACAGCAATCTTGCTGAATTCAACTGCACTTGCATCTATGCCAGCAAATATGTACCCATTGCTTTTGTCTATCAGCTTCACTAAATTCCCAACACTTTCTTTGTCCTGAAAAGGAGATACCAACAAATAACAAAATTCTAAAATTTTGACACACTCATCAAAGACCAGAAGATAAATTTGGAGTACCTGAATATCTAAGGTTGTAAAGTTTACAAGACTGTAGTCTTCTATAACTTCACATAATTCCTTCGTTAGTTTTCTGTGCAGGTATATAACATCAGGGTATTAACACACAATTCGGTAAAAACGAATGCCTATTTTATGGCTATAAATGAAAGCATCAGAAAATAATAGCCGGGGACCTTAAGAGAGGGCACGAACACCAAACACTTATCAGTTTGTTTCACATAGGATGTGAACAAGGGTTCACAATCATAAAACACACGGAGAAGTAATTCAATCCAACTCATTTAAATCCACCTCTTTACCCTTGCTCACATAAGTTTGCAGGTTAACATTTTCAAAATTATGATATCTAGAAGCTAAGCCGTCACAGAATTTGGCATGGTCATTGGTCAAACATCTTGTGAGGAATGTGGATCCTATTGCATTCTTGCAGATCACTAATTATTGCTTTTCCTCTCCCAAAGAGCATTTCTCATTTTGAGCTCCCACAACCAAGGGCAAAACCCACACCAAGAAATTATGGCACACAAAATTACAAGTGTAATCACCTAATATGCTCAAAGATGAAATTTCTTGTGTTAGTATCACTCAATCTTCATTAAACTCTTAATGGAAGCACTTAAATATGTGTTTCCACCTCCTTCACATACCATGGAGCATAGAATTAGTCAACAACAAATCGATGCAGCAAAAAAATATATCAAGTTCAATATCCAGGGCAGAAAAGTATTAGAAAAAAATTATAAAATAAGAAATGCTACATCACAAATAAGGAAGCAATCTAACGTTGTGAACAGAAAACATAATCAATGCTGTTTCAAACGAAGCACAGTTAAAGAGCAGAGATTCTCCACATCATTGAGAACAGCAAATTTTTCTAGATATCAAACCTGTACTTAGCAGCACGAGGATCCTGATCAAGATGGCGTTGTAAATATGACAAGTCTTGCACATCTGTGAAGAAGTCAAGATTAAATGCTGCACCCATCAAAATATAACTGTTAGAATGGATCTCTGTCACCCACCAGAACTAAGAGTAATGCACGTCCACGTCAAGGACCTAAAGTAAGTAGCAGCGCACCTAGCCTCCCATAGCTCTCAATTAAATCAATTTTCGACAAGACATTAATGTGAGGGAGTTCTAGATGTAACATTGTCGATAAGGACAGAAGCAGTGCACTAATATACTTTCCAGGGTCACTGCAAAGATGAGCATCAACCAAATGCACTGCAGTCAACTGCATAAGATGAGCAAGCAAATAACTATAAATAATCTAGCATGGAAAAAATTATTAATAAAATATAAAATCTCACACAACCAATATGTAGAGATCAGAAGAGTACCCTCAGGTTCAAGTTTTTAATGAGTTTCATGATGACCTTCTTTGCATTTGAATGAAGGAAAAATAGTTCAACTTGGCCAGGAAAATCAAACAGTAGATAGTGATCTGAAATGATCAATCCATTGTAAGAACAAGAGAAAAATAGCATTTGGCCTGCTTAAGATATTACAAGAATTGTTGTCTGTCTGTAAAGCCACTAAATCTAGTAACGGAGGCATATTGCACGAACCTTTCAGAAGGGGTTCCAACTTAGCTTGTAACCAGTCAATATTTTTCTCCAGATAGTCCATACAATACACAAGGCCTGGTTAGAGAACAGAGGAAACATTAGAAAACACACTCTTGGTTAGGTTTGGATAGCTTATGACAGTTTTTCTAGCACATTCAAGGTCTCATTCGCAAGAAGCATTAATTCACATGCTCAGTGAATTCCTAGAATTCTTGTCGGGTATGCTCTCAAAAGCGCCTATCAGAAAACGATAAGCCATTCCTCTCCATAACCACTTATGCGAAAAGCATACCCCCCCCCCCCAAAAAAAAAAAAAAAAAACCGAAAAACAAATAAATTGAAGTTTTAGAAGGCTTACCCCCATTAGGACCTAGAGAATGTTCGGCCATTACATCACTTAATTTCACAATATCCTCGATGTTTACAGCGCATTCGTAGCTATCTTCTATATAAGGGTAAACTTACAAATCAAATTGTGCAAATAAAAATGACAGTCAGAAGAGTGACGAAGTTTGAAGGAAAAAGCGAAAAGGATACGGCAGTGAATCATTAGCAGGATCCAGATTAATTACAGCAACCTTCCTGCACATTAAAAATAAAGTTGTCACTGGACTATCTAACAAATTTATCCTATTTTAGGTCCTGAGCACACAATAGCCCGAAAATATTGTTACTGTGAACTGAAACTAGCAATAGTTATAGGTAGTGTTAGCTTTGGTAAAATGGCACTTATAGTTATACTTGTCATATTTCCTCCGAAACAAAAGAAAGCATCATTTGAAAAGCAATGATTTATGAATTTTTTTAGTGTCCTTTCATGGATGCCGTAAAGAGCAGTCGTTACCTTCCAATAAGTTTCAGGAACTGAGACATGCCATTGCAGTAGGTTGTTTTGCCGGAGCCAGGAGGACCAATCACTACTTGCCCAAACACCATCTTCCTCCTCTCGCTGGAAATAAAATTAAGAAGACTGGGGAGCAGCACCAGCGTGAAGATGGCGGCAAACCGGCGAGACTGCAATAATCGGAGGGAGGAGGGAGGTACTGGAAACTAGGAAAAAAAAAAAAAAAATAGTGGAAATATAACTCCAGCAATTGGGCCAAACATAAATGAGAGAGGAAGTTTCGGGCCACTTCAGCTTCTCTGGCGCCGCCAATAAGCCCATAAATGAAGAATATGAATTTTAAAAGGGGGGGCATTCCGAGAATCGAACTCGGGACCTCTCGCACCCAAAGCGAGAATCATACCACTAGACCAAATGCCCGCGCCGGGGGCCAAAGCACATGGATGAGAAAAGATGTTTCAAAAGGAAAGTCCGTTCCCCAGCCGTGATGCTAAGTAGCTAGTATTTACGAAATGACAAATTACAGTACATGCTGTCCTTGTCTCTTTGCTTTTACTCACGTATGTCTGCACTCTACAGTACAGTAAGAGACAGAGAGCAAAGCCGGTAGATGGCAGTGGGTACTTAAAATAATGACAAAAACCGTTGTGGATGACGACTTTATGATTGTTGCCAAGTCTACTTTAACCTCTTGGTCTCCGCAATTTCCTGCAGCTCACATTCCTCTTCCCCCTTTTCCTTATCCTCTTTTTTTGCAATCTCTTCCTTTTCTTCTTCCTCTTAGATTGTCTGCTTCAGTATGGCCTTTGCCGGGACAACCCAGAAATGCATGGCCTGTGAGAAAACGGTTTATTTGGTTGATAAGCTAACTGCGGATAACCGAGTGTACCACAAGGCTTGCTTCCGATGCCATCATTGCAAAGGGACACTCAAGGTATCTTTCTCTTGTAGATTTCTCACAATAGTGTAATGCTTTCTAGTTTTCCGGTCATTTCTGCTTTTGTATCTAGTCTTAATTTTTGTTTCCAAAACTCACCATGATTCGTACTTGCAATCTTGGTCTTTCTTCTTGGTTTGATCTTTCAATTGTCTGACTCGTAAGATAGATCAATTGACGTGGCTAACTCAATTTTAGTTGATACGGCTTCTTTCATTGGAACCTCTTTGCCTGTCGGTGCCGTAAGGCATTGTAATTTTCATTTTTTTTTTTCAAAAGCAAAAAGTTATTTGTTGACCAATGTTCAATGAATCTGCAGCTTAGCAACTACAATTCTTTCGAGGGGGTTCTTTACTGCAAGCCACACTTCGACCAACTGTTCAAAAGAACCGGCAGCCTAGAGAAAAGCTTCGAAGGTAAGTAAGGATAAGGAATGAAATTATCATATGCCCCTCTACATTTTTCTTCTCGGCCACTAAATTCTACGTCCTTTCCTGTGAACTGTGATTAGGGACACCAAAAATTGCTAAACCGGAGAAAAACATTGATAGTGAGGTACTTAACGCTACGTGTAGGTGTTATTGCCATGTGCTGATGCACAACAGAACAATTTCAGTTTCGTAACCTTCATCTAACATTGACTTGTTTATAAATCAGAAGCCTGTAGCGACCAAAGTGTCAAGTATGTTTGGTGGAACCAGGGATAAATGTGCTGGTTGTCAGAAAACAGCTTATCCAACGGAGAAGGTATCTTGTGAAAAAAATGTTGGGCGCTGGCATTGATAATGACAAAGAACTTGTCATTCTGCATAAATAACACAGGCATCTTAGTTTTTACTACTAGTCTACTACAGGAAAAGTTGAGATCAATATTTTGCAATGATACAGGTTACTGTGAATGGAACTCCATACCACAAGAGTTGTTTCAAATGTTGCCATGGAGGGTGTGTTATAAGTCCTTCCAACTACATTGCACATGAGGGCAAACTCTACTGCAAGCATCACCATACCCAGCTGATCAGGGAAAAGGGTAATCTGAGCCAGCTTGAAGGTGACCGCGACGGGAGTACAGTGCATGATAAAATTACTGATGAACAAGTTGCTGCCCTCACATAGAAGAGTCAGAAAAGTCACGTTTTCAACTTTTATATCCTCTGCCACCGTTCGTGTTTTCCCTTACATTTTCTGCTGTTCTGCTAGTAGGAAAAAATGTGTGGATCTTGTTTCTGAATTTGGTTTGGAAAGAGACCTCAAGAGCAATTGACTCTTTTAATGTGGTCATATGAAGACTCTCATTTGCTTATTGATATCTTAAAAGTTAAAACTGCTTCGTTATCCTCATTAAACTCTCGTCGTCATGGTTATTTACCGAGTTTTGAGTCAATCCAATTTTTGCTCCGTCAGAGTCGAATGTCTGCATAGTCGTATGTCTTCGCCAAATCATCAACAGCACAAGCATTTACTGTAACAAAAAATACTTGGAGAGGCCCTTTTTCTTTGCAAATACTAAAACACAAAAAGAAAGGGAAACAAGACAACTAAACAAGCTACTGTTGATCGGAAGAGGCAAAGATAAACGTTTGCATGTCGGACGTTTTTGAACCCCCTTCTGATCCGATTTTAGTGTCGGTTTCTCTTCATAGATAGTTTAGTCGGTGCATTATAATAGCCAAACTTGCGAGATATTGGCTTCTGAAGGAAGAGTGCCGTGCTAATGAAAAGAACCGACCTGACTTTAAACTCTCACCAAATAATCTGGGGATTAAAATTGAGGAAGGTGACAATGTTGATGCTGTTATTTCCTCAAGCCGCACGAACTAGAATGAAACGGGAAATCGTGCAGCAGGCTCTTGGTCTAGTAAAATTTAAGCCAGTAAAACATGTTTTTGCCGATCCGTTTCTACATTTATCCAAATAATAGTCTTATTGCTTGCTTAAACGGAGGGATACTTTGACGAGGGCAAGGAAATTATAAGACTTCCCAGATATCGAATAAATCATTAATGTTTAGCGGAAAATAGAGCCCCATGAAGAATCAAACTAAAAGCCAGGGAAACCAAAATTAGTTAAGAAAGTGAAAATAAAAACAACTTGCCGTGAAGACATCTAGTGGTTTGCCACTGGGGAGCTGACCAAACCGATGCATTAAAATTTTATGCATTATGCTGGTTAAACTACATATTTTAATTCCATTTAGTATTTCAACTACTAGATTTTGTACTTTTGTCCAGCGAAGTGAAAATCAATACTTAAACATCGCTATTCTCTGATCTAGATCGTTGAAAATCATTTATTCGCTACTCTCTGATCTAGATCGTTGAAAATCATTTATCCCTCCCTCCAAAGACGTGGCAAGGCGGCCGGCCATTCGATCTGTCAAAGTCCGTCGCTTCAACTTCACATCACCACCATGAAAAGCCTTATTCATCAAGCCTTGCAACCTCTCAGGACTTGGATACTGTTTCCTTTGTAATAATCCTGAGTAGGAATCCAAGAACTCAGCGTAGGCTTCCACCACAAGCTTCAAGCTCGCTTCTTTTATTTGTTCCCTCAAATCTTCGTCTGGTATGTTGTAATACTCTTTGTGCTTCTGACAAGTGTCATTCACATACTTCAGAAAGGTTTCAATTTTTTCTGTCACTATACCTCCAATGACGCCGTTCCCCTGTGTCTCCACTTCCTCCATATCCAGGATGCTTATCAGAACTCCCCATGCTTGCATCTGATACATGTAGGCCGATTCCTCTGCCACTGCTTTGTACTTCCTTTTCATATATTGGTCACCCAACAGCTCACCAAGCTCTGAGTTTTTGACCCTCATGTATATATACCAGTACGCATTCATTACGAATATATTGATCAAAGTTTTGTCCCTGCAGCGAGAGCGTTTAGACTCTATGTTTCTTTGAAGGGCATCCATGATGTTGAAAATGGCTTCCTTTAGTAAATCCTCGCCAGCATCAGGTTTTGATAAGATCCCAGCTTTCCATATCTGCTCTGTTTCGAGAACATTACCCATGGCTTCTCGGTAATTCTTGGTAGCAAGGTATTTCAGGTAATTAATGGCATACCTTACTAGTTTGGGAACAGAACCATCTTGTGGAGGTGGAATACCATCTGTATTCCCTTCTATTAGCAGCCCAAATTCCCAAAATACTTTGCTTGACGCGTCGATTATAAGCTTCTCGAGCTCCCGGAACCGAGTGCAGAAATCTACCCCAGCTTCGCCGTCAAAAATTTCCAAGAATACGGGTTTTAGTTTTTCTAAGGTCTCAAACATATCCAACAGCTTGAACAACTTCTGTGGCTCTTTGCTGCTTCTGGCCACGCCTTCTCCGAATCGAAAGAACACCGCCAATATTTTGTCAGCTATCTTGGCGAAGCATTCAGGCCATACTAGTCCAGCCATGATTTTACCCAAAACTCTGTAGCAGAGCTTCTTTTCAGAGAAGAGAACCTTTTTCACAGCAACTTCGAAGTGTTGGATCCAAAGTGTTATCGCCGTTTCTAAGCTCTCCCATTCCATTTCATCGACTCCTTCTGGAGTATATGTTCTCAAGTAATCTGGATTTAGCCTCATTAATGCCTTGGCAGCCCTTCTATATCTCACCTGTCAAACCAACCATTGAAATAGGAGAATGATGATTGATGCTTTTTAGTCATAACATTATGAATGATCATGATCAATATTACCTTGACGTAGATGTCAATGCATATATCCAAGCAATCATTGGCAGCTAAAGTATCAGAAATTCGTCTTAGCACTTCAATTTCCAGCTCTGAACCAATGTCAGAGTCGACGACGGTGTCATATTCTGCCTGCTGTCTTGATAAATCTCCGACGTTCTGATGCCTTATTTGCAGTAAGATACTCTCGAACTCATCTTGCATGTGAAGTAACGCCTCGTCCAGTAAACCTTCAAACCTCATGGCATCGACCTCTGTCTCGTAGAGTGTCTTGAGAGTGATTAGAGTCTCTCTTAACCTCTGTGTCCTGTATTGATCGGCCGCCTTTGTTCGGCTTATAAACTCAACTACCTCTTGAAGCCTCTGAATGACTGGTTCACCCTCTTGGCTTATGGAAATGATAGCCTCATCAAGCCGATCAACACAATCCATGTAATCGAGAAGATTTTGGAGACGTTTTTGCGTGTCTTCTCCTCCGACAGTTTGGATGAGAGATCAAGAAGCTTCTGTTGGAGGGACTCGTAGAACTTGAAGCTGTCGAGGAGTCCAAGTGCAGGAGAAACAGCTCTGTTGATTCTAGTATCGAGGGCCTTGGTGGACATGGCCAAAGACTGTAAAGGGGCCACACTTCTGGATGCTGTGGACAGAGTTGCGTCTATACCATCGAATCTCGTGTCCATATTTCCAAGGCTATCTTCCAGTTTCTTGGAAGCTCGAAGGAGAGCTTTCAAATCGGAGCATGCTGACTCAAGATTGAGAAGCGTAGGCTCTTGCTCATTGGGAGCCATTGCTGTGGAGCAATTCGCATGAGCATTTTTAGACGAAGAAGAAGAAGGTTTTAAAAGGAACAAAGCGACAAGGGTCGATGTAAACAGAGATACAAATGGCATTTGGTTGCGGGAAACAAACAAAACGACAACTGGGGAACCTTGGAAATGGATATAATAATGCAAAGCCGGTATTTTTTTTTTTTAATAAAAAAAGCCGATATTTGGGAAGGAATGGGTACAAACGCGGGGACCCTGACGTTGACATCTAATGGGCCGACAGCCCGAGTTTTATCTGAGAGGGCAGACCCAAGGTTTGTTCAAGCGGGCCAGGGCTATTTCATAAATTAAACAAATGACGGGCCCAGACTATGGGATGGCCATAATGCCCTTTACCCTCGTGGCTGGTAGAAATCTAATGCAGCATGTCGAGCTAACCTAAAAGGTTTCTCACGCTCTAGGGCGAGAGGAGGTGAAGCCTGCAGAGATCTTGAGTATGTTGCTTATTCATTTGCTCCTCTCGGTGGGTTCTACTCTATTCACGATTACCTCCTCTTCATGCATTGCTGAAAATTAATGCCAAAATCTTCTAAAACAGACAATGCGTTATCCGCGGCTTAATATAAAAACTCAATACCTAATTTACAAATATAAGAAATATTAGTTAAATTAATTATTTATAATGAATAGATTTTTTTTTCTTAAGATACTCCTCTTAATCATATACATTAAACTACGACTAATGAAAACTTCTTAACATATGCATTCGTGACATAATTATTAAAGTACTAAGAACAAAATATATATTGAAATCTTATATTTAGATTAAATTAACTCTTTAATTAGCTCTAATATTAAGTATCGTGTGGTGTTAATTAACATTCATTTTACCTGCAACATCTATTTAAATTTTTGCCATGATCAGGCTATCATATACTATCGCACCGGCCGAAACAGCGTTTATCTTGCTCAAAGTGTGCTTTCCCGGCTTGAATACTATTTTTCCGTCCGGGTACATTTAATTCGGATTGTTTGGAATTCGACGTTAATTTTATCACTAATAGCTCATTTAATTTACTTAAATTGAATTGCTTGATAGTATTAATAACTTTTTAAAAGAGTAATTTTACTACTTTATATTTACCTATTACATAGGTGCCGTTATAATAGTTCTCTCTGAATAATCAATAACAAATTATATGCTAATTGCGAATTTCTTATGCATAAATACAGGATCGCTATTCTGGTAATTTCCTTGTTACATAGTTAATACTAGAAACAAAAACCACTACTTGATCCCTAACATATTATAATCCTATTCATATATACTATATATATGCCGATAATTACAGAAAATCAAGGCGCTTGCTAAAGGTTTAGAGCTATGGACTATGTATAGTGACATTTCAGACATTGCAACTAGATTGAGAACCTTCTCTCGTGGGTGTGCGAGTGTGAAACCTCCACTTAAAGAGGTAGTCTCTGGATTCACAGGATAATCTGAGGACGTCACAGAAAGCGTTGAGTGAGCTGATTTTTTCGTTTGGTTTCCATTCGATCCTCACCCAGCAAGTAAAGCCGCTTGACGAAATTGGCACGCTTGAATCACAAAGACGCAGCGTCACCTCCCCACTGATCCTCTTGCACGAGCGGCATGGGAGTCTTCCATCACCGGTCACCATCGAGTCGAGCCAAGGGCACTCTGGCTGACCCACCATCTCCTTGTAAGCAGAATTTGCCATTCTAACTTGGTTGTTTGAGTCTGATATGACAACAGGTAAGGCCTCAGACTCAACTTCTAGTTCAACCTCCTCTGGTGTTTTTGGGGCTCGAGATGCTGGGGGCAGGCCAGGGTCTTCATTGATGCACCCGACGCTTATGCTAGAACCAAGAGGGCGAACTGGCCGAGGTGCGATAACAATGCTTACAGCTGGCGTCTGCAATTGCTGCAAGAGATCTTTTTCCTCTGGGATTTCTGCTGTAGTGTTCAAATCGATAGTCTCTTCCCTCCCTTGACTGTGGCCGTTTCCGGTGGAGAACACGGAAGAAGTGGAAGTGTCACTAAACTTGGAGTATTATTGGAAGGTTTTTCCCAGCCGGAGTTAAGCATCCCATGGTTAGGAGGAGGAGGAGGGAGTTGAGGCAGGCTGTGACTATGAGTAAAACTCTGTAAAGAAAGGTTCTTTGCAGGAGAGGTTACATGGCAAGGCGAACAAAAGCCCAAAACTTGGGTCTTCTGCCTCTTGAGAGAGGGCAGTAGTGGCATAGAAGCTCGGCCTCTCTTTCGGGTCCTGGTAGGGCGTGCCTGCAACTGTGGCCAGAGATTCCTAAGGTAAGGAGACTGCTTGATCTTTTGGCAAAGGGAGGAACCATCAGCCACAGAATTCCCCGGAGTCTCAGGCTTCGGAGCTATGGGCCTATACCGAGACATGATTTCAGCAGTTTTCGCAGTGTTGGAATAGGGATGTAAAGTCTTAATCATGGCGATAGATTTGTTTAAGCCCGCGAAGAGTCTTCTGTTCTAACAGACAAGAGAGGAGCAAATTGATGAGGATGCCGGGAAGGCGCAAAATTAAAACTTGAGTGAAGAGGGCGTAAAATGGGGGAGAAGAAGAAGAGTTATAAAAGGAGAGGGGGATGAATATTGGTGGTGGAGAAGTGAGAGAGATAGCCAATGAGGAGTGGGCACAGTGAAGAGAAGTAGGAGGAGAAAGTGACACTTGTAAATGAAGGGTGGGTACGTGTTGAAGGGGCTCAGAGAGGAGGACATATGGGAATTGGGAAGAGAAGAGGGAAGGAGAGTGCAGAGTCATCGATCTCTCACGCCAATCAGGGACCCTGCCTGGCTTCTAATTATACGAAAAGCGAGAAGGTGGGCTCGCATTATAACGCGTGGTGGCGATGGCCGCCATGCGTGAAAACACCTATCACCGCTGGTTTGGTCGCCCCGTCATTTTCTACCCTTACACGAAACAGTCCCTCTTCAGTCGGTTAAATTTGTTCGCTTTCTACGTGTCGCCCCCTCCTCCTTCCTCTACATGCAATGGATGAGTTAGAATCTCATTGGGGCCTTTGCATTGGTGGCTACTCCCTCCTCAACCCACACGATTCCCATTACTCCTCAATCACTGGTTGCATTTTACATTTAGCCCAGTTTTGCAGCTTGCCAGGGTTTTCTTCACATTACTCCAATTCTGCCAATGCCTTGACAAGTCCCCTCACGGGTGTTTGATTAGTATATGCCCTAATGAATGCTCTCCCCACTTCTACTCAACAAAGGAATGTGTTTTCGTTTATTTTATAAAATATGAGTTGTTTTCCGTAGGTGACCTTTTTTGCGGCCATTTCTGTCGTGAAATAGGAATAGGAATTAGCTCCTGGCTGTGGTGATGAGTGGGCATGTTCATGTGAGGACCGAGGAGGTGGCGGCATTATATGTCTTGTTTGGCTACAAATTAAAAGTTATTGATTTCAAAGACGAGAGTGCCTTGATCCGCACTGCTAGCCATCCGTGTTAGTTACAATCTTGAATGAAGGATATGTTCAAAAGGGTCACGTCATCCGAAGGGAATGCTTTTGCGACCCATGCAATAATCCTAACGGTGCCAGCTGGTTTCATCTGCTTTTTTTTAATTGGCCAGGCGCATCATTGGTTCACTGACAATTTGGGACACTATTCGACTTCTGATTTGCCATGAGATGCAGCCACGGAAGCATTTTAAATTAAATATTTCATGTGGAAAAATGTTTGAAGTTGAACAAGTATACTACCTCTTATCTTAAAATTAGTTGACTAATTCGAATAGATTAAAAAACAAGTTAACTTAGTTATTTGTAATAAATAGGTGTTGTCTTTCTTAAAATATTATTACTGATCAAATTTCTTAGTTATAACTATTATTGGTAGAATGACAATTTAAAAAAAAAGTATAAAAAATAAAATGAATTAGGTTTTTATATCTAAAATCAAAATAAAAATTATATCAAGAACTAGAGGCAGTATATCCGGAACCACGCTAATAATAATGTTCATGCATGTCTGAAAGTACTGCGGGCCCAGGGAAGAACACAAGTCCTGGATGCACCCACTAATGTCTAATGTGAGTTAACACGAACACGCACGCGCGTTAGTTTTGCAGTAATTATGCACTAATTGTAATTTGACTCAAGATTCCACTCTAACCACCCCCGCCCTTGATATTGCATTAATTGGAATGGCTCTTTTCTTCCCAAAAAAAAAAGTGTCATTGATTTGTAGTAGTTTGCTTCCTGAGAAAGAATTCATAGACTCCACACAAATAAATCTTGAAAATTTAGTACTAATTTCGGTTCTAAATATAAAATTTAGCTTTTCTTGTAAATCATACTATATGCTCTGCTGTTGTGTAGAGTCAATGTTGCACATAGTCAATTTGGCTAGCTACAAGAATGGCAATGTTCGCAATACCCGTCGTCTCTTGCCCTAATGCAAAGAAAAACGAATGACGATTGTTTTTTAATTCAAAAAATGATTTGGATGGGTTGCTTTCGAATTTATAGTCTAAACAGCTGTAATGGGCCTCGTAGAACATGACCACAAGCCCATAATGGAATTTGAAAAGCAGAGCATTTCAAAAATAGAGCGGAGACTGGACAGAAACCCCTACCATATCCGGGTCACGACGACGTGAGCTAAGCTAAGGGCAAGGCACTTGAATACCTCATTCTAGGAAATCAAACCCACTCCTTTTTAAATGAGAAGATGTAATTCCTACCGCTAAACCCACGGATGATAGGTTTTATTTTAGTTAAACTTATAGTTTCGTCTCAACTTTCACGTTTATAAAAAAGAATGTTTTTTCTTTATTTATTAAAAAATAACTTCAGAATATTAAATTAAATCCAATAATCTAGAAGGTTAAAGCAATGAATTGAAGTGAAATGATTTTTTTTTTTTCAATTGTTCAACTCAATATTGAGCAGCGTGAATTACGAAAATTTGTGATCATACGTAAAGTATGAAAAATGCAACAAATACAAGGGATGGAAAACACGTCTGATATTTGGAATATCTGTTGGATTCCTATATATATATTATGGTATTTTGGGAAGGATAAATACCATAAGACTTGAAAACAAACTAACTGCGCATGTACAACTCATTCGTGCGTTTCACTTTCACATAAAGTACTACTAATTAATATTTTGCTGCAGCAGACCCATCAGAATGGCAATATTATATTTGGCAGGAAATTCTTGCTCTTATTCGCTTGTTTTTTTCTGTCTTGGTTTTTTGTGATTTTTAACCAAGTTCTCAGCTTCAATTTTCTTAATGTTACTGAGTTCTTGTAACTTGTAAGGAGTATCTATTATATATAAAAAAAATTTTGTCTTTGGTTTAAAAAAAAAAAATGACAAGCCCAAAAGGCAGAGGTGAGGAACCAACTATCCGTGGTTCGTGCTCCCTACATCTTCAGGTCCAATAACCTCTCCATAATTATAAAATGTAACTAGCTATGTTCTATCATGTGATGTACCGAGACTGTAAAATGAATGGCAACCTGGGGATAGTTTTGTTCATTATAAATTATTAATTTTATGACAAGACCGCGCGCGAGTTCCATTACAATTACAAAGCGAGACCAGCAGCTATGATGTGGACGGTGTCATTTGTCTTTGTTGGGAAAGAGGTAGGAGGTTGCAGGCAGAAAAGGGAGGGGGAATCTCCGGAAAAACTTCAGAAGTCCATAGTCGGGGGTTTCACTTGGCAATCTTTGACATTGGCATCCAAAGGGGACCATCCGAGCAATTAGTAAACTCCGATGTTGCAGCAAAACCTCATGCTTATTATGCATACTCTATACTCTTACAACTCTAAAGGTCTTGGACATACTCTCTTCTTTGTCGTGTTAATACTTTAATGTCATTTTCTTTCAATAAATATAGCTCTGAAATAACTAGCATGACAATGATATTGTCATCCCTGATGTCAACAGCTCACCTACATTCTTGCAACGTAACTGGTTTATCGCTCACGTCTCTCCTCTATTCTTATCCTTCTAACCTTCTTGGTATTTATTCTTAGATTAAACACACCATGGCTTTTCTTCTCAGAGAGTTCCTTAGTTGAAAATATCAGTATTTTGACTATTTTTCATCCATCTCTTTTCCCTCTGAACAAATAATCAAAGCACTGATTGGCAGTATATTAAGCAGAGGAGTGTTCTGGAAAGAAAGAATGAGCTGAAGTAAGATTCCTCTGCGATCCTTAGAATTCCTATGGGTAGCATGTGTTTGCCTTAGCAGAATAGAGGTGGATATGATTAAGAATAACAAGCCGAGTGCTTGAAAGAGCATAGAGTATCAGAAAATAACAAAGAGAAAACCTATTAAAGGGAAGGGACCAGCTCAACTTTCATGAAAATCATAGTGGCCCACAATGCTTACACAAAGTGGCATTTCATTGCCACTTGGCTCAACTAAGAAAATAAAACACAATAGGAGAGAATAAATAAATTTAGAGTCACTGACCTCTTGGTATAAGCAAGGGTTGAATTAATACTTTTTACTGACAAACGAGCTCAAAACCTAGATAGAAAAGCAAGATTATTTAATACTAGTATTACATTACTACCACGTTTCCCATCTCTCAACACACAGATTAATTTCTACTGTTCTTGTTCTGCAATTCCACATTCGATATGCATACACAGTATTAGATTCCAAATATTACCCAATGTCAGCTTCGTAATGAGACGTATATTTCCCAGCAGAATATCACGGATATAGCAACCTTGACCTAAGCTATTTTATTGGGCCCTTGCTGTGTTGGAAGTACTATTTGGATTTTTAGCTTTTTGGGTGAGGGGAATTTTGTCACCTAAAGGAGCAGATTGCACATGGGATATATCTTGACTGTACTCTACTATCTTGCCTCAGCAGTTCACTTTGTAAACTGAGTTAAATGCCTACTTAAACTGATCTAAATTTAGGAAGGAGGTCATATACAAGTCAATAACATATAGGAATGGCTAATGAGAATTTAAGGTTTAACAAGTGGTAACCACCAGCAGCCTTTTCGCTTTTTAGCATACTTGCTTTACTTTGGCTTCCATTTAATTTGGCGCCTACTGAGGTTTTTACTTTATCAGACATACTGGTCTGTCTGGTTTCGCTCTTAATGTGCTCAAAAGGGACTTCGCTGCTGAAGACATAGATTAGTTGATTTGCAAACATTAAATTTTTTGTGGGAAGCAGAAAAGGAAGGGCAGGTGAGCGGGAGCAGGCCTTTTACATGTGTGTGTGCAGTTTACTCCCTCAGTTTTATAGCAAGGGTCACAAAAAATTTCTTTTCCATGTCTCATAGTAAGTATTATATCCGTATTTTAAGAAAGTATTAAATACTTTACTTCCTGTTTTGCCCCACATTAATACACCTATTAGTTGCAAATAGTAGTATTCAGTTAAAGAATACTAGGGGCATGTGGGAAAGGTATTATAAATTTTACAAAACCTTAGATTTTTTTTAACACTTCTTATTAAACAAAGGGAGTATCTTCTAGTCCCACACATTAATAGAAAGAAAGTTAAAGGTAATAAGCGTCATTAGTTGTGACCTTAGCAAGTAGGGTAAACTTTTTCTCATGAAGGGACAGCACTATCATTCTATGGGGCATTGATAATGCCATAATTGTTAATGTCGTGGTGACTAAAACACTTTCTCATTTACTCTCACAGGACGCAGAAAATACACTCTGTATACACGCACACGAAGCCAACTGGCAATATTAACCCATTCAAATAATGATAGCAAAATGAAGGCCCAAGGATTGAACGTAAGGACTTGCATAATTCAGGAGTTATATTGGGAGCCCCCCCCCCCTTCCTGTCCTCTTTTTGTTTGTTAATGGATTATCTGTTTCTCCTTCGTTTACTTTATCTTCTCCTACTTATACTGAGAAGAACACCATAGCGAGCACAAAGAGTAAAAGAGCGAGAGCAGGTTAGTCTTTTCTCTAAACTCTTTTGATCTGATCGCTGATATAGTAGAGAATCCAGCTTGAGATAATCCACCTTAGGGTGCTTACTAGAGGAAAAGAAGGGTTGAATGGATTTGTCAGCTTCACGGTACAATAGTGTGAGTGAATCCGGTTGGACCAATTATATAGACCAAACCTCTCTTTTGGATAAATATTTCCAGAGACGTGGGAGTGTGGAATACGAGGGAAAAGAAGCAAGACTGGAGGAGGAGGAGGAGGAGGAAGGTTTATCCATGGTGTCTGATGCTTCTTCCGGGCCTCCACATTATCATGATGAGGTTGATAAATACTCTAGTCATCCGTCTACTTCCCTACCCAAAAAGAAGGTCAGAGAATGCGGCCGAAGAAATCTACAACAGGCTTCACATCTTGATGACACTGCCAGCTCCCCTGTTTACAGTTTTCCCACGGCAAGTCATGTAATTTAATTATAATATTTCCATACTCTTTTGTTTGAGATGTTAGAGTAGCGACAAATATTTTGGTTGATGGGTTCTCTTGTCATCGAACAGAAGAAAGTGAGTTTTACAGGGAAAGGTGCAGCGGAGAATGCAATGGCTCTTTCTCAAGGTTTCTCTGCAACAAGATTAAAGGTACGATATCCAGTTTTCTTAAGATGTTAGTTTCAGGTTTCATTACATTATGCATGTCACCCACCTTCACAGTTTATTTATTATATTTTTGTTAAATTCTGCAGGCAAATCCTCAATTCCAGAAGCACTTCAATTTGTTAGAATGCTCAAGTTCTGGTAAACAATCCTCTGAAGATCAAGGTGATACACTTTCATGTACATGTTTTATTTGTTTACTTTTTATCCGAGGCTTTTTGTGGGGGAGATAAAAGAGCCAGCAAGTTCCTAATTTTCATTTGTTTGTTCATTTATATCTCATGTTTAGGTGATTCCGAACAGAAAGATGAGAATCAAACGTAGCATTTTTTGTCTCTGCTGTTGTTGTTGGAGCATTGATGTCCAGGGAGAGAGATGTCAAGCAGAGGCAATTCAATGTCAAAGAGGGGACTACCTTACCTATTTCCTTAATCTTTTCTTTTCTGGGAAGAAAATAACTCTTTCATTGTAATTTCACTATTTCAGTCCCTTTGGGGAAAAAAAAAATTGCTGTAATGCTAGTGCCAAGTGCCAAGTGCCAGTGCAGTTGGTGAAAACCGGCCTAATAGAATATAAAGAATAAAATAGGATCTCTATTTCTAATTTCTTTCTCGTCACGATGCCGTCAGGCCAGTATCCATGGGACATGTGGGTGTTCTACAACGTCTATACTACACAGTTAGGTTAAAATTCAATAACACTAAATGGTAAGATATAAAAAAGAAGTGAGATTCTTATGATGCAGAAAACTTGGTAGGTGAGAGCTAAAACATAACGGTGCTTTCAATGGCCAAGTCCGAGAATTTCCTAGTTGTCAGCAAGCAGTCAGAATGGAGAGGCAGGGAGGCCTTGTGAGCTCCTAGATTAAGCTCGGCTACTGCCAGCCTAGCTCCCCACAGGATTTGCATTTTGGTTGAACGTATTCTAGGGGGACACCCAAAATAGACAACATGTCCATATGTAACCAACACGCAGGCTTCGTTTTTCAGACAATAGTCCAAACAGGGCAACCCCACCAACATCCCATAGGTGCCCCCTTAGGATGTGATCCATACGTTATCGTTACCCTGGTACAATTATTGAATCGTGTTCTGTTGGGAATATCCAACAAAATCTGCGTTCAAGTGTTTATATCCTCAGACTCAACCAACACATGGTTCTAGAGCAAAATGACTAAGATATCAGGAAACGGACAATAATATCATGCTTCCCACCCCAAACTATTAGTAAATGGATAGGATGATTGCGTAACCTGTCCTGAAAATAGATTTATAACCATACAAAAACGCCAGAAGACTGCTGAATGACCAACCAAATAATTTGTTACGAAACAAAATGAGATTTACAGAAATATAACTTATATACAAAATTAGAGTTACAGGAATATAGCATATGGTTGTTCTTGTACAGTTGCATACTCTGGAAAAGAAAATATTGAAAAGAAAATAACACATTGCTGGGTATGAATGGTGAAGAAGAATTGAAAAGAAGATGAAGGAAGACACTGGTTGTTCCCTTGAAAAGAACAGAGCAATAATCGAGGAATTCATTCTGCAAACACGTTGCCTTTCGATGGCGATCATCGGATGCCACGCCAATTGTGTAAAAGAGCCACTTCGGACTTCAGAGAGCATCAACATTCCGTTGACCGCATGACCCATCAATTAAGGAAAGGGTGGGCCCCCTTTACAGCTTTCTTCATAAACGTACGACCACACAACCTTAGAAACAAGGTAATGCCCTCGGGGTTATTCTCAGAACCCTAGCTGTACTTAAAGGGGTAGGACGGAGGACTCCTTCAAACAAGGAAGTCTTCTGCTATTTGTAATTCTAAACTATTTAGCCTATATTTTAATTGTTTGGATACATTTATTTTTTATTTTAAAATTTCGGAACCATCCGAAAGTAACTTGAGTACAAATCTTCGACGGTATATTCTGTGGGTTAAAGAAGCCAGCTGCCATTGAAAGAAGCCAGGAGATTAGAAGGATATCCAAAAAAAGAAGCCAGCTGCCATTGAAAAACCATCCCTAGTTGAAAGTTACGCCCCAAAATTATGTGCGAGAATAGGTTGTGCTTCTAAACCTTTTAACCACTACCGACCAGGATTTGTCTGCAGCATTATAAGGGATTTTTTGAAAGATGGGCTGAAAATAAAATAGGATCCTTCAAATGCAAAACCAAAACCCCTCCTAGACTTATTTAGGCTTAATAAAATTTCATAAACTCTAAATTTATTTGGCAACAAAAGTATGGAGAATGATAATGAGAACATTATAAGAAAGTTAATACTCCTCCAGTCCTTGATATAGGACCTAATTTTTGAGTTAGTTTTGGTCCTAAATATAAGACTCATTTCTCATATTTATTATTTTTCTCTAAATTACCCCTATGGATACTCCCTCAACCATAATTAAGTAGAAGAGGGAGAGAGGATATTAAAAAAGATGATTATGGTATTTTAGGAAAAATGTGTCACTTTTCTTATAATTAACTAACTTACCTAACTTTCTTAATCTAATCAAATTAGTTAAATGAGTCTTATATTAAGGACCGGAAGAGTAACAAATTACAATCTCATCATAACTTACATTATCAAATTCATCACTCCTTTTCCTATATTTCAACACTAAATTTTTTTAAAAGTTTTTTTACGATATTAATTTTTTTAATATGGCTCTTGGTTGTCATTATCTTAAAGAATTCATAGACTCCACACAAATAAATCCTGTAAGTTTAGTATATCACCACCACCCTCCACTGTTGTGCGAAGTGAATGGAGAACATAATCAATTCGGCTAGCTAGAACAACGGTAATGTTTGCGATCCCTATCCTCTAGCGCCCCAGCTTGGGGCCCGCCCCCCGGGGGGGTTTGAAATAGAAACGATTTCTTTATTAAAATGATTTCAACAGTTAGATCTTAAATATAAAATACTGGTATGGAATGGCTAATGAATAGTTTATAAACACTTTTTAATTATAATTTATATAATATGAAATAAATATATAAACAGAGTTTTGTCTTAATAATAAATCCAAACAAGTCCAGAATCTAACCCACCTGTAACAGGCCTTATGGAACATGACCCATGAGCCCATGATAGCAATTAGCATACAGAACATTTAAAAAAAAAAAAGATAAAGAAATGAAAACTGAACAAAAACAACTATTTATCTTAGTTGATAAAAATATATTTTCGTCTCAACGTTTACTCTCATGAAGATATAATTTTCGCAAGTGAAATATTTTACGAGGAATATGATAGCGTCCGCAGATGCAGGATAAGGGCTAGAAGGGCAAGCACTGATGGTGATAAAATGGGGACATTTTATTGATCAGTTTTCAGTTTCCTAGTATTTGTGTTATGCTTCTTATCAAGATAAAACAATCTCTATCCGGCTAGTTGTACTGTTATGGATCGCCCCTTCCGCTTAACTTGATGTTTCTACAAAGGCCTATCAGATATCCATCGACTGAACATGGCAAAACACTCTTCAGGCCTATACTCCGGAGCTGTATGTCCTCCACCCTGTAAGTTCATCACCAGCACATGACAAAACATGAAGTTATATATATTAAAAAAGAGAGAGAGAGAGAGAGAGGCTAAATTATACAAAAACACTCGCCTTCACAGTTGCAAATGTCATTCGATTGGAGTAAGACCTGGTGTATCTGCCCAAAATGGAAGAATGAGGAGGTCAGGCTGCATGCCATATAACCTTCTGAACAAGTATATATATTAGGGTTACTGGATGAAGTTCGATATTAATAAATATACCCTGCAACTTGGCCATTGGTACGCCAGGGCCTCCAGTCATCGACGATAGAGTAGTTCAAAGATCTTATCCACGCTTGAGTGTCCAGGAAAGGAACTATCATGTCATGATCCCCACTGCATTATTATATTTGAACACATAATTAGCTTCACTCTCAATATATGGCCGTCAGAAGACGACATCACGCAACAAAAATTGGACCTGTAGATCAACGAACGATAGCCTTTTCTGCTGAGATTCATATGATACTCCAACGATCCAGGTATCTCATACTTGTAATTCATTCCATAGTCACAACGCTGCCATTTCCCTATACTTCCCTGCACCCACGCCCACTTGTATATCTGTTACTCTATATATCGTATATATTCATCTCTAAAAACTGCAATATTATTCTTATACGTACCTCTCGGATACCGAGCGCCTTGCGAACATCGGGATCGTTGGCCCAATGACCACACAGGTAATAAGTATAAGTCTGCCATGATGGGGAAACCATATAAATATTCGAGAGATAAAGCAAAGTGGGTTTGTTTATTAGAGAATTACGGTACAGACAGAAGAACTACCCTGCAGTTTAAGGTTGGCACTGCGAGATGGGATTCGAGAACTGCCCTGGTCTTGTAAGCGAAAGATCTTCTCCAAGATATTTCTACTGGTTTTCGCAATGCGAACTCACATACGGGTTCCAAAATATGGACCCCGTTAATTCCTGAAGTACACTGTGGAAACGCCATTGTTTAGGGGAGCTCAGAAGCAGTATGATCCAACAAAACTAAATCAATACATATATATATACCTTTTGGAAGTACTGTATGTCTCTGATGCAGTTTACATTTCTGGGGTCTACGTTGACGTACTCCCCTCCACAATTTCTTTGAAGTGACTGCTCATTTTCGGAAAGCAAATTAATTAAGTTCAGATTTTAACAATAACCATCGTTTCATGATTTTCAATGACAAAAGCACCTCGTAAAGTTCATCAGAAATGAGTCCCATTCCATGAGCAAATGGAATTCCATAATTGGCTTTGGGTGGATTTGTCACCGGATTACCCAGCAGGTATCCCTGAAGAAAAGAGCATTCCATGTATAATCTACTTATCCGCCAAAAATAAAAACGCGTAAAGAGTTGCAGCTCCCCTTTGCGATTGATTGACAGGAGAATTAAAACGCCTAGGAAAACAAGATTGTAGATCCAAATATACTGCTTACAATTCTTAACATAAGAGTCAAATAACTACTTTTTAAGTAGATTGAAATTTGTTAAGTTAATTATTTATAATAAATAGGTATTGGTTTGTTTAAAATATTTTTACTAATCATATGTATTAGCCAGAATTATAATTTGATGCAATATTTGATATGTGCAACTAATAAAAGAACTTTTTTAAAAAAATTAATAAATATGACGGATAAAGTGGATCAATATATATTTATGATTAAATTGAAAATCAAACTAATTTTTATATTAAGTATTGGAAGTAGTATAATAGTAATATCATAATATATACTATGCGCGACATTATCTGCACTACCCGCAACATTTGTTTGCGCCCAACAACCACATTTATTCTGTGCATATCCAAATAATAATGATATCAGATATTTTTTTTTATTGCAAAAAAAAGATATAATTTTTTTTTGGGACCGAAGATTTGAATTTAATGCGCAATAATCTGGAAAGAGACAATAAATTAAAGAGAACGGAACTCGTGGTAGGTTAACATTATATACGCTTGAATTATTTCTCCCTCCCCGGATAGACGGATAGAGCAACGTGCATGGATATATCATTTTTTTTTTTGGTCAGCGCATGGATATGTCTATCTCATGAAAGATTGAAAAAAATAAAATGAAATATTCTCATAAACAATACTCCTCTCCATTGGCCCAAAAAAAAAATCCCCTCCATTCTAATAATTATATGGCAGTATTTTAAAGGCATAACTGATTATAAATACAGGATAAAAATGTAGGAGTCAATTTCTTTTTAGACATGCTTTTAACTATTGAAAACACTTTGCTGCAACGATTGATTTTGATAGAAAAACAAAATTAGAAACTCATACATTTTCTACGGATTTAAAAATATCAACCATCACTTCTTAAAAATCATAAAACCCGCAAACTTTACTCTATAATTGGAACCAATGAGTATTATTTGTTAAAAAAGAAATTGAACGTACGTAAAAACATAAATCAAGAAAATTAAAGGAGAATAGAGTAGGAACAAGCCTGCAAATTTATCCGGGGTTGGAAGCCAGCTTCATTTCCTGCGGATAAGGGAGCGTATGGTGAGTGATCAGGCTATCGGATAATCAGAATATTATCCGCTGGCCAAAATTTAAAATAAAAATAAAAATAGAATACTACTGAAATTGGGAGAGGAGGTTTTTTTTTTTTTCTTCCCCCGCCTCATTTGCGTATGGGTGCTAAAAGAGACTCTGTCATATTCCGATAAGCATTGAAGCTGCTTCTTACAAAGCCATCGTAGGTCCCCCTTCGGGAGATCCGATAAGATGGAAAAGATGCACTTTGATTAGAGCATAATAATTAGAAACCTGACTCGAGGAGCACCTCGACCTTTTCATGACAACGACTAATAATTTCAACGGTAGCCTATAGTCCACGAGTTTTGTACCATTTGATATCTCTTCAACAACGACCGGGAGAGGAATGCCGGAGTAGGAGTCGCCGCCGATGTATACTTTATTGGACACGAACCCCGGATGATCAATCAGCCACTATTATAAACATTAAACATGATTATTAAATTACCAGGCGCCATTTATTTCCAAGCATGTCCCTTTTATCCCCTTCCTCCTCCTCTCACTGTAAATTAACGAAATTACCTTCCTAAGAAACTGATGGGCATGATGAATTGCTTTCCAGTCACCTTGCTGGAGTGTTCTGGAGTAAGAGAAGCCCGTACCAGCAGGCAAATCTACGAATATGATGCTACTTACCTGACCACTTAAAAAACTTTGATTAAGTAGCTGTAAATTTGCACGAAAGCACATGGTCAATCAGACAAAGAATGACAATAATGGCACCTTTGTCCAAGAATTGGGTCTCAACACTAGATTCGGCACGCTCCCATTGTATTCCTGGCTCTGAAATCCAAGTGGACCTGCAAAAGTGATTATTAAAGCCCAAGGAAACATGACTCGCCATGAACCAGCCGGGCACTTCCAAAATTAAGTGGCTAGCAGTTGCTGAGTAAGGGTGCGTGTTTCAACAATTTACCGATTTCAAAGACGAGACCGGAAAGTGCAGAGCAACCAGGTCCGCCAGTTAGCCAGAGCACGAGAGGGTCATCTCTGGGATTGTTCTCTGACTCAATAAAATAGTAAAACAGCTGCGTATCCTCTGTTTCGCCAACTCCAACATACCTGACCAAAATTCAACACGAAGCACTAATCATCTAAATCTCGGAGACCGCAGTTTAATCAACTCCGACCTACCCTGTCTCTAAAACAAAAGGGAGTGGTCCCTGGAAGCCAGGAAGACATTTGACTATGAAGCCGCATGTTGCAGGCTGAGACGAAAAGTGGAACAGGAGGACAGTAAGGAGAAGAAGAATCTCATTCAGGTAATAATTACAACTGAGTTTTCCCATTTCAAATGCTACCTCGCATCAAGCTCAATACTTTACATAAATAGTATATACCGAATAAAAGGAGCCGGCAGGGTGCACTGCAGCATGGAGGAGACGGAATCGCTGCAGAACACGTCAGGGGAACTGAGGGGTGTGTGGTTCTCATTGAAGGGTTTATCCCGTGCTCATAATTAGAGTATGGGTGATAAGTCACAATGTCTAAGTTTCATAATATACGGAAAAGACAAGGAAATTAATTATTCACGCCTTGTGGGATATGTCTCTGTTAAGCAAATTGGACCGCTGAAACTGAAATGGACAGCTTCGTGAGTTTTTTGTGCTTTTTGGCGTAACAAGATCACTTTGCGTCACATGATCCGTGTGGAGATTTTAACTTTGTTTCATCCCCACCCACCCCCTTGAAGTACTCTATTCCTTAGCTTAACGTATAACTTGAAAACCAACAAAAGGCAGTTACGTACCGTATATGAATGAAAGATTCTAGAATGTTTGAAAATCTTGAGGGAAAGAAAACTAGGTTCCCGAAAATCCGAATTATGAAGTAGAATTACCAGAAGGTTGCGAGAGTCCGATGTTAGAAGGGAATGGTCTGTACTACTACTTCATGTTCTAATTATAAGAGTTAGTTGACTAATTTAAAGAGATTAAAAAAATAAGTTAAATTGGTTATTTGTAATAAATAGGTATTGTCTTTCCTAAAATATTCTTGCTAATCAAGTGTATTAACTAGAATTACTATTATTAGAAGGATTACCTTGAAAAAAAATACACAAATATTAGAGACAAAAAAGATTATAGTCTTATATTTAGAACAAAAATAAAAATCAAACAATATCTTATATTAAGGATCGAAGGTAGTATTTAAGAATGAAACAAGTACCTCTTATTTTTCTTTTGGGAGAATTACAATCAAATCCCACAGAAGACAAATAAGTACTAAAAAGTCCCAATAACAATCTAAGCAGTCTATAATGACAAGTCCTACAGTGAAGAATAACAACTTCTAAACTTATTTTGTTATTATTTTTCTTCTATGAGACTTGATTGTAATTTTTTTTTTTTTGGGTACTAAGAAACAAGTACCTCTAGTAACGCGTCACTTAGCACATGGACTACCATTCGAAGGCTTGGATTGGTCTTATATACTCGAGGCCCATGTCGTATGTTCGGACCATAACGGGGCTAAGAAGCTTCGAATAGAAGCTATGGGATCCAAATCTGAAAAATATTTAAAACGTATTATTATTTTTTTTGAAAAAACTCAACAGTAACTTAGAAATACTAAAATTAATTATATAAAGTGTAAATAATGATTTTAATCATTGCAAATATTTTATTTTTTTATATTAGCCTTTTATTTTATATTCCAGTACTTAATGTAAGATCCATTTAAGTAACTTAATTGATTAAAAAAGTTAGATAAATTACTTAATTATAAAAAATATAACATGTTTTTTTAAAATATTATAATCATCTTCCTTAATATCTCTCCTTCCCTTCTTACTTGTTTATGATTGAGGGAATATCACTAAGAGTAATTTAGAAAGAATTGATAAATATAAAAAATATATCTTACATTTAAAATCAAAATCAACTTAACAATTAGATTTTATATTAAGAATCAGATGAATATTAAATAGCATCAATGCGCATTATTACACTATTTGCCGGTAAAGATTTAAGTAAAAGGCATTTAATAGTCCACCTTTTCATAGAAGTTAGTTGGCGTTTGCATAGCTGATAGCGCCAAGTCGTTCCACTGCGAACTTGTCTGCAACTGTAAGCGCAAATTAAAGAAGCTATTTTCCTCTTGCTGTCTAAGGGGCCTTTCGCCAATATGCGGAGACACAAATCGATATTTTGCTTTTGATTTCACGAGTTGACAGATGGCTTTCGAAAGCTTTGTCTAGCGACCCGTACTATGCATGAAGCTCGCCATGATCATTGACACATCCCCGCATCCAATTTCTTGGAATTGAAAATGATTTTACATATTCCAAAATAAATACGCTACAAGAATTTTTTAATTTGAATAAAAGTACGTTTTTTAAGTGCTTCTGGATCTTCCAAACACCCTAGACTAGCAAAACCAGCTCAAAGTGCAATGCTCATACATAGCTGCGCAGAACTCAGGGCAAGCTTCAAATATTTCACCGCACAATCTTACAAATCATTCTTTACAAAGACACGTCCATGCAGAATTAGGAAAAAGTCATGCCAGCAATCACTTAGCCCCGGGGGGGGGGGGGAAAGCCTTGGAAGTCACAACTACGACTACTAGAAGTCAGTAGGTAAAAAAATTTACATAGAAAAGATGGTGAAAAATTAATTTTTTTCAGAAAAGAAAGCAAAGGAAAAACATAAAGCTGTTTAACAATTAAGGAACTTTCAAATTATCTGATAAACCCATATCCTAGCATCAAATTTGATCCCTTTAAAAGATGAATGTGGTAGCGCACAACTTTGAAGGATCATTTTTCTGCGGACCAATTCTTCAAAGATTACAATGGTTTTCGAGAAATCCACCGCTCAAACATTGCAAAGCATTCTCTAGGTTTGTACTCAGGAGCTGTGTGCCCTCCACCCTGCAAATTAATTCAAACAAATAACATTGAATCTGAATTTCCCAGCTCTGGAGCATGATTCTTTGAAGTGAAACTGAAAATATGTTTCTTGCCTTAATAGTCGCATACGTCATCTCATTTGAATATGTCCTTGTGTAACTACACAACAAGTAGCAACTCCAAGTTCCTTATTGCAAGTTTTGGATTCAACATCAAAAAGAATAATGTTGCCTTTGACTAAAAGCTTACCCTGCGACTTGGCCTTGCACAAACCACTGTCTCCACTCATGTACAATGGAATAATTTAAAGATCTTATCCATGCTTGAGTCCCCCAAAGCGGGACGATAAAGTCATGATCTCCACTGCCATGAAAAACCAAATGATAGCACATGAATTTGAAGTAATCACCAATAATTTTCCAAAGGCAGAACACTTAATTCATGTATGACCAGTTACTTCACCTGTATATGAGCGCACGGTAACCTTTAGCGCTCAACTTCAAATGATATGGAACACTGCTTTCAATATCTTTAGTATAAGGTTTCATAATACATCTCACCCATTTCCCTATGCTTCCCTGTTTTTGCACCCAAATTACACTCACAGATGATAACTATGAAAATGTGAAGGTGAAGGAATATGAAAATTCTCATACCTGACGGATGCCAAGGTCCTTGCGAACAGAACCATCGTTTGCCCAATCCTGAGCCAGCAAACCTTCGTAATTCTACATGAAAATAAACATCACTTATGAATCAACTCATAATTCAAGCCATTAAACAAGTGCTTAAACAGGAGCTGCATCTTTTCTTGTCATGTTAATGAAGTTATGATATAGGATCAGAAACGAAATGACAGGGGAGCAGATTGTAGAATTACTCGACATGTTATATCAGGAAGTGATGGTTGAGAGTCTGAGGTGAGTAAGGTTTCAGGCATCTCATGGAGAGATCTTCTGTCAGAGAACTTTTGAGGTTTTGGGGAAGCAAAGGGACATAAGGGTTCCAAAATATGTGCAGAATTTATTCCTGAAACACACTGAAATTTAAAATTGGCAGATAAGTATTACTACATATATCATGAGGAGGAAAAATGATCATCCAAGTACGCACCAACTTACTATCGTTGCCTACCTTTTCATATGCTGCAATATATCTGGCACACATTTTATTAAAAGGATCAACATATTGATACTCTCCCCCGCAACTGCTTTTCAATGACTGCAGGGACGGATTGATTTATTTGATTAGTAATGAACATTTCATCCTTAAATGCAGCCCTTTGATGTCTTTAGAAATAAATTACCTCATAGAGTTCATCAGAAATAAGCCCCATGCCATGGGCAAATGGGATCTTATGGTTGTTATCTATAACATCATCTGTTGAGGGGTTTCCTAGCAAATATCCCTGGTTATAACCAGCTCATTATCAGCTAAAACTTGGAGGCAATGAAGGAAACCCTATGTCTAGGGAAGGAAATTTAAGAACATAAATAGTTAACAACCTGGAAATTAACTGAAGGCTCTATACTATTCTCATTTCCTGCAAGATCACAAAATTCAAAAAATTTGCTATCTTAATTTCGTAATCACCTTTCAACATTGTACAATCTTACATCTAACACAACGTTCTACATTTCATCCTTTGATCATATGCAAAGTCTTAAGGAAAATTAACAGAACCAGTTACGGATAAACATCTTAAACTCATCAGATTTAGATTATCTAAATTTCATTTAAATGGTTCAGATTTAATTTCTTTTTTATTTATTTTTTTTAAGATAATTGTTTTAATAGATATAGAACATAAAATAAAGATAATCTTTTAACCATCATTTTTTTCAAAAAAATAATTTTTTCTATTTAAAAATAATTAACTAAAAATTTAAAATATGAACCATTCAAATGAAATCTCAATAGTTAAGGTCTGATGTGTTTAAGATGCTTATTAATATGATAAGCACTAAAACTAATTTCAAAATTAAATATGACTGTCTTAGTGTTATGTGTATGAAGGATGAGAATCAGGCTCACCTATTGAGATTTCAAGGGCAATTGCAGGGACAATATATCCAGAATATGAGTCCCCACCTATGTATATTGGGTTCGAGTGGAATTCCGGGTGAACAGTCAACCACTGCACAGGAAACAATAGTCAGACATTTATAAGACTAAGGATAGCAGAGGTTTCCCATACCCCCGTGTTATGCATATTAAATAATATCTTTTGGACTTTGGACTATTGCCCATGAATCACCCCGTGTGTGTGTGTCGTAGGTACCTTCCTGAGAAATTGAACGGCATGTTGGATTTGTTTAGAGTCAGTACGCTGAGGAGCAATGGGGAGTGTTGTATAGGAGAATCCAGTATGAGCAGGTAAATCTATAAAAATTATGCTGGAAACCTGACATCAAGCACGAGCAAGATAAAATGCCATGAACCAGTATAGAAATTTTAAATTGAAGAGTCGCTACAAGTTGGTCCAAGTTTTGAAATGACCTTAGTCCATGAGTCTGGGTTTAAAACAAGCATAGGCAGAGTACCATTGTATTCCTCAATCCGAAAATGAATTGGACCTTAAAGTCCATTTACTGGGGTTAGAAAAGTAAGTAATCCTTAAAACGTTAAGGTTCTGGAACAAAATAGACAAGAGCATTAGGATTCCTGTGTTACCTATTTCGAAGAAAAGGGAAGATAAAGCGGAGCAACCAGGGCCCCCAGTTAGCCAGAGCATCAAAGGGTCTTGTTTCGGATTTCGATCTGACTTGACGAAGTAGTAGAAGAGCTGCACATCCTCTGATTCTCCAACTCCCACATACCTTCAATAGTATTTTGTTTTCGCCATGAAATGTTAAATGTTATTAACAGTTACACTGATTACTGAAGATGACAGACATCACAAAGTATGGTTTATAGCTTCTCAGAGAATTTTTGAACATGCTTACCCAGTTTCAAGATGGAAAGGAGAGGGCCTTGAAAGCCAGGAAGAAACTTAACAGTCGAGCGAGAGAGGGCAAAAGTGAAGCAAGCCTGAGGAGATAGAAGAAGAAGAAGAAGCAGTGATGCGCAGAAGGATGAAGAAGATTGAGAAGTTGAAGACGCAGTAGCCATTTGCTTCATTTGCTCTGGAAATGTGAGAACGATTGTGTGGTAAAAGAGTTAAGATGGACGAACGGTTGCCCGGAAGAATGGATCAGGGGCTTAAATGAGCTTAACCTGGGAGAGGCAAAGGCAGGCACGCAATCCCGAACGAATCTTGTTATGACCAGAAAATGTCAATCGTGAATCGTCATGAAAGTGATCAGCTTACTGGGAGTTAGTAGCCGTTAAATAGCTATATAATCCCTGGCATTTTCTTTGAAGGTTGCGTCAGAGACGAATAAAACGAGCCTTGCTTACTTGGCATTAGACTTCATAGCAGTGTGTATGATGTAACCATTCGAATTTCTGCAGTTCAACTGTGCCGTGCAGTGGTAACCTCATCGAATTATCTGTGTTTGACAGCGTGTGCCCACACGATTATTTAGATTTGATTGTTAACTTAACAGCTAAACTTTATCAAAATTTTAGTTTATCATGCTAAATAAAATAAAATATTGTTTTTCAATCTCATTGGAACTTAGACATATCTTTCAGTAGATAAAATATTAAAAATAAACATGACTATGTCTATGAATATTTAGAAAGTCTCACTGTTTACAATAACATTTGTTGTTATTATATGTTAAATTATAAATGCGAATAAAAACAAATTTTGTATGCCAATTAAGTAGAGAGATACTAATAGGGGTGAACAAAAGTTTAAATAACTTCAAGGGTAATATTAAAAACTTGTTGGAATCTTGTACAAATTTAAAACACACTCCTCCAATCCTAAATATAAAACCATATACACTAGTATAAGGATCTTATATTTAGCACCGGAGGAGTACTTAATATGTCTTTTGTTATGCTTCGCAAAAACACCAACTTAAATATATTACCTCATCCAATTGACTAATTTGGAGAGATTAAGAAATTTATTTAAGTTAGTTATTTATAATAAATAGACGTTGTTTTTTTTTAAAATATCCTTGCTAATCAAGTTTATTATCTATAACTACTATTATTAAAAGACTATCTTAAAAAAATGGATAAATATAAGAGATAAAGTAGATTAGAGTTTTATATTTAAAACCAAAATAAAAATCAAATAAAATTTTATATTAAACATAGGAGGTAGTACTCAATATACACAAGTGAATTTGTCAAAAAATCTTGATAATAAAGACCTGAAAGAGTCTTACAGAGGACGGTTAACCATTTAACGGGTCCGTACGTTAGCCCAAACTGGTACGGCTTTTTTCAATTATGGTTTAATGGACCATGGAAGGTGGTTCATCCTAAAGTAGCAGTACCAGCTCAAAGTGTATAACGGATAACGGATAGTGCACTGAAGTGTGAAGGACGGAACTCCGAAAAAAGGGGACCAAGCGGTTATCTCTCAAAAGCTATTGACCACAAAATCTTAGAAATGCTTCTTAGAAAGACACCTTCAAGCAAATTTAGGACTCTTAAAGAATAAGTATCGATATGCCAAAAAGGCAAAGGATAAGAACGATGGTAAATACTAGCCCGGGTCCTTAATACTACCTTTCGTCCTCAATATAAGAGTATTTTTTTTTATTTTGATCTTAAATATAAAATCTTGATTCACTTCATCTCTCATATTTATCCATTTGTTTCCAAAATACTTTTTGCAATAATAGTAATTCTAACTAATATATTTGATTAGCAAAGATATTTTAAAAAGGATAACACTTATTTATTACAAATAACTAACTTAATTAGTTTTTTTAATCTACTCAAATTAGTCAACTAATTTTTTTTATTAAGAACCAGAGTTAGTATAAGAGTTAGTTTGACTTTTAATTTGATCTTAAATATAAAACCTCAATTCACTTTGTCTATAGTAGTTGTACATGTTAAATATTCAATAAAATAGTAGTTATAAATAATATATATAGTTAGTAAAAGTATTCTAAAAAAGACAATACTTATTTATTATAAATAACTAATTTAACAAACTTTTCTAATTTACTTAAATTAGTCAATTAAATCTTATATTAAGAACTGTAGTACTAAAATAAAAATATGAATAACGTCAATCTTCTAATTCCACATAGGAAAAGGGCAGCAACAATAATTTAGCCTCTAAACCAAAACAACGTTGGGCGCATTGGATGTCACATTAATAATTATTCGAAGTCAGCTTGTAAAATGATTTAAATAGAGAAGATGGTGAGGAATCAAATTTTGCGGAAAAGAAAGAAAAGCAAACATAAAGCTGTTCAGTGATTCAGGAACTTTCAAATTAACAAACAGATTGATATCCTTCAAATGGGTTTGCTTGGTAAAGCAATGTGGACGAGCTGGGAGAGATTGATGAGCTTGAACTTTCAGCAGATCAATCCTTCAAAGATTACAATGGTTTTTGAGAAATCCACCTCTCAAACATTGCATAGCATTCTTCAGGTTTGTACTCGGGAGCAGTGTGCCCTCCACCCTGCATATTTATTTAAACACATGACATGAATATGAACTTCCAGGTCTGAATCATGATTCTTTCATGTGAAACCGAAAAGATGTTTCTTGCCTTAATAGTTGCAAACGTCATCCCATTCGAATATGTCCTCGTGTAACTGCACAACAACCAGTAGCTCCAAGTTATGTCTTTTTGGATTCAGAATAAAACAAGAATGTTGCTTTTGCATGAATGCTTACCCAGCGACTTGGCCTTGGACTAACCATGGCCTCCACTCGTCCACAATTGAATAATTTAAACATCTTATCCACGCTTGAGTTCCCCTAAACGGGATAATAAAGTCATGATCTCCACTGCCATGAAAAACCAAATGACAGCAAATGAATTTGAAGTGATCACCAATAATTTTCCAGAGGCAGAACATGCAAGTCATGTGTGACCAGTTACTTCACCTGTATATGAGCGCCCGGTAACCTTTAGCGCTCAAATTCAAATGATATGGAACACTGCTTCCAATTTCTTTAGTATAAGGCGTCTTAATACATCGCACCCATTTCCCTATGCTTCCCTGTTTTTACATCCAAACTACAATCACAAATGCGTTTTCTTGCGTCTTGATCATTATGAAAATGTGAAGGTCAAACTGGTGAAGGAACATTATCATTCTCATACCTGACGGACGCCAAGGGCCTTGCGAACACCACCATCATTCGCCCAATACTGAGCTAGCAAACCTTCGTAAGTCTACATGCAAATAAACATCACTTACGAGTCAACTCATAATTCAAGTTACCAAACGAGTGCTTAAACAGAAGCAGCATCTTTTCTTGTCATGTTAATTAAGGCATGGCAGATTGTGGAATTACTCGACATGTTACATCAGGAAGTGATGGTTGAGAGTGTGAGGCGAGTAAGGTTTCAGGCATCTCGTCGAGAGATCTTCTGTCAGAGAACTTTTGTGGTTTTGGGGAGAACAAAGGAACATTTGCGTTCCAAAATATGTGCAGTATTTATTCCTGAGACACACTGAAATTTAAAATTGGCAGATAATTATTACTACATAGATCACTAAGACAAAAACAATTACCCACGTACGCACCAACTTATTATCATTGCCTACCTTTTCATAGGCTGCAATATACCGGCACACATTTTATTACTAGGATCTACATTTTGATACTCTCCACCGCAACTGCTTTTCAATGACTGAAGGACGGTTTGATTTATTTGATTAGTAATGAACATTCCATCCTTAAATTCAGCCCATTGATGTCTTTAAAAATAAATTACCTCGTAGAGTTCGTCAGAAATAAGCCCCATACCATGAGCAAATGGGATCTTATGGTTGTCATCTATAGCACCGTCTGTTCCGGGGTTTCCTAGCAAATATCCCTTGATTATAACCAGGTCATTATCAGCTAAATGTCGGACACAGTGAAGGAACCCTATGTCTCGGGAAGGAAATTTAGGAATAAAACTAATTACCAACCTGGAAATTAATTGCAGTATCTATACTGTTCTCATATCCTGCAAAATCACAGCATTCAAAAACTTCGCCATCTTAATTTTTTTATCACGTCTCAACATTCTAAAAAGAAAGAACTCAGCTGGTGCACGTACAATCTTACATCTAACACAATGTTCCACACTTCATCCGGTGATCATGTGCAGAGTCTTATGGAAAATTAACGATGATTGTCTTGGCGTTACGTGTGAAGGAGATGAGAAGCTGGCTTACCTTTCGAGATTTCAAGGGCAACAGCAGGGACAATCAATCCAGAATATGAGTCCCCGCCAACGTATATCGGGTTGGAGCGGAATTCCGAGTGAATAGTCAACCACTGGACAAGAAACAATAGTTGAACACTTCCAGATACCAAGTACAGCAGAGGTAGTTGTCCCTCTCCGTGTGAGTATGTGTGTGTTGTAAAAAGGAAAAAAGGAAAGGTTATGCATGGTACTTGTATAAGGTACCTTCCAGAAGAATTGAACGGCGTGTTGGATTTGTTTAGAGTCACTCCGCTGAGGAGCAATGGGGAGTGTTGTATAGGAGAATCCAGTATGAGCAGGTAAATCTATAAAAATTATGCTGGAAACCTGACATCAATCACCAGCAAGCAAAGCAGCTGTGAACCAGCATAGAAATTATAAATTGAAGAGTGGCCACAAGTTAGTCAAAGTTTTGAAATAACCTTCGTCCATGAGTCCGGATTTAAATCAAGCGTAGGCAGAGTACCATTGTATTCCTCAATCCGAAAATGAATTGGACCTTAAAGTCCATTTGATGGGATTAGAAAAGTAAATAATGCTAAAACCATGAAGCTCTGAAACAAAATAGACAAGAGCACCACGACCGCTGTGTTACCTATTTCAAAGAGAAGGGAAGATAAAGCAGAGCAACCAGGGCCTCCAGTTAGCCAGAGCACCAAAGGGTCTTGTTTCGGACTTCGCTCTGACTCGACGAAGTAGTAGAAGAGCTGCACATCCTCCGATTCTCCAACTCCCACATACCTTCAACAGTATATTGTTTCCCCCATGCAATGTTAAATCCCATTGATGGTTAGAGAGAAAATGACAAACGTCGCAGAGTTTGGTTTCCACTTTCACAGAATCTTTGAAAGGAAACGTACCCTGTTTCGAGATGGAAAGGAAGAGGGCCTTGAAACCCCGGAAGAAACTTAACAGTTGTGCGAGCGTGCGCAAAAGTGAAGCAAGCCTGTGAAGACAGAAGAAGAAGAAAGAGCAGAGAGACTGGGAATGATGACGAAGATGGGGAAACTGAGGACGTAGCAACCATTTGGGGGATTCGTATTGCTATCCTGCTGACTTGTGTGGGTTATGGAGTTGACCAGGAAATGTTAGAACAATTATCCAAGTTGAGAGTTAAGAGCGACTAGCCCGCGATCGGTGGTTCAAAAGAATGGATTCGGGACTCTGATGTTAACTTCGGAAAGGGTCTGTGATCATAAGATGATCGGAGCTCGGCGGAGGTGATCGCGTCAGAGACGTAAATGAATAAGAGGTGCTTTTTTTGTGGCGGGAGATAAGAGCCGTTCCTGATTTGCATCAAAATTGGAAAGGTGTGGTCAAAATTCATAGCAACGTCTGTGTGATGCGAGCATTGGAATTCTCCAGTTCGCGTTCACTTGGCGGCTGGGGTTTTGGCGCCATTTGTAACAATCCACGCGACGCTATATTGATTGAAAATGAGATAAAGTTGACTCTTTTAATCCCACTGGCCACGCCTTTTGAGTACAAATAATAATTAAAAAAAAGTCTTACTGTTTATAATTATTGTTAGGAAAAAAAAAAGTAAAACATCCTCAAAATTACTAAATGACAAGTTAGAGTGAATAAATTTTAAAATTTCAATTGAAACCTCAGGTACCATTTTAGAATTTTCAAATCTTGTAAAATGACAACATTGTCCTTACTGTCGGTGATTACTTATATATAACTATTAACTACTCTATTTTAACTATTAATTACTTTTGTTTTCAAAGTTATGGTAACTACTTTTATATAGTTATTGACTACGTAAAAATAGTAAATCGCATTACTAGAGTAGTTAATAACTTAACAAAAGTAGTCATCAAAGTTTAAAAGTAAATGTATTCAATAGCTAAAAAAATAGTCACTATATAAAAAAGAGTAGTTATTGGAGCTCCGGTGACCAGTCACCGGATTTCCAGTCACATGTCATCAGAGTTTAAAAATAAATGTAGCCAATAGTTAAAAAAGAGTAGTCAATATATAAGAAAAAGTAGTTATCGGAGTTTCCATGACCGATCGCCAGAGTTCCGTTGGCCCGTAGGCAACCGAAATTACTGAGGTGGCAGTATTTTAAAAAAAAGTAAAAAAAATAATAAAAGGTATTTGTGTGATTTTATAAGATTTAAAAATTCCAACAAAGTACTTAGGGTTTAGATTAGGATTTTGAAATTTAGATACCTTTATTTGTTATTTAATATTTTTAAGAGTATCTTAGTGTCTTTTTTTTCTTATTGTTACATTGAATTGAGCTTAGATTTTGGATGACGGCACTCCAAGTCCTCAGAGTTGATTTGCGTTTAGACAAAATTTGCAGTGAATGAATTATAAAAGCACATAAAAACCATTTAAAATTTAAAAACAAATATAAACATCATATTTATTTGATAGTCAACATAAAAATTTAAAGAATTATTGTTTTCAATGATGAAGACTGCTCAACTAGTCAAACAATAAGAACATTATCATCAAAATTTAAAAATGAACCTCAACGTTAGATAATTTAGTAATACTTTTTCAAAAAGATTAAGGTCCAATTTTATTTTCAAAGCTTTTGTTTCAGAGTTGTGGGTATCCAATTTTTTTCCCCAAAAAGTAGTATTGTTTCGAAAATATTAAAAAGTAAGATTTATTTTATAATTTTACCTCTCATTAAAATTTCACATTCAGTTTATAGGAGAGAAATTACGTATACCTTGAAAAAAGTTATATAAATATGGGAAACAAAATATATTTGAGTCTTATATTTAGAACTAAAATAAAAATAAAATGAGACCTTAATAAGGGTAGCACTACTGTACGGTAGAACCTCTCCGATTGATCTCAAATATTTATTTTTTTAATTTTCTAATTGCCCTTTGCCCCCTTTTATTTTCTCCTCTCCCTAACGAATTAAACAGAGCTATTTATGTTGGTAAACAAAATTTATGTGAAAAAATACAGGAAAACAAAAATTTAATATCCATGGGTAATATAAAAAACGTATTAAAATTTTATGCAAATTAAATTTTAAAACGTACATAATTTTAACCAGATTTTTTAATCATTCAACAGGAACAAATATAAGAAATAACTGTCTTCTGATGCTTAATTTAACAAGTAAAATAATACGTGAAGTTGGTATTTACATCTTATATTTGAAAGTAAAGGAAGTATTAAGAATAATTTGTCATCCTTTACCATAAAATTTTAAAAATAAATAAAAATGAGTACAACCATTATTCGGCAGGTTGATTTTGTGCACTTGAGGAGGGGTAAAAAACGTTGGTCAAAAATAGAGAAAACAAGCAAAAATACGAGTCATAGTCACTGCAAATATGAGGCTAACAGGAGAAATCTAAAAATTTCTATTAAAAAAAATACTCACATTTAGTATATGATAAGATAGCAGTACCCCTAATATAGATCCACTCAAATTGGTCAAATAGTGAACTTCAGCCATAGCAATTTTAGCTAAGGGGCCGGTCCGTCACCCCGAATTGACCAGGCCTTTTTATTTCAGAAAATAATGGAAGGTAGTTCATCCTAGAAATCCTCCTTTAGAAAGACACCTCTAAGCAAATTTAGGACTCAAAAGAATAAGCATCGATATGCTAAAAAGGCAAACAGAAAGAATGATGGGAAGTACTCGCAGTATATTCTAATTATACAGAGGAAAAGGTCATGGCAACAATCATTTACCCTATAAACAAAACAAACGTTGGATGCATTGGATGTCACGTGTATGATTCTTAGAAGTCAGGTTGTAAAATAATTTAGACAGAGAAGATGGTGGAAGATCTTTTTTTGCGGGGGCAAAAAACAGACATAAGGTTCTTCAGTGATTCAGGAACTTACAAATTAACTGATAGACTGATGCAATAGCAATGTATTTCATCCTTCAAACGGGTTCGCCTGATTAAAAATAACTTTACCCAACAATCTAACATATCTGAAGTTGTTATTTATATCTTATACTTGAAAGTAAAGAAAGTGTTAACAATAACTTGTCATTTTTTGCAATAATTTAATTTTTAAAAATAAATAAAATAAAAACATGTACAAACATTATTCGACCCTTTCAGCTTGATTGCATGCATTTGAGGGGGGGAAATGTTGGTCCAAAATATATCTTCAATCCCTACTAAAAAAAACTAGATAGCTAATTATAAATATTAAAAAATTAGTTAAATTAATTATTTGTAATTGGAATGAGCTGTGTTTATTTGGACTGACCCAAACAAGTCCAAACACACAAAAAAGCCTGTGAAATCCAACCTAACCATTTCAGCTAACGGGTCGGTACGTTAGCCCTAATTGATAGGGTTTTTTTTTCAATTATGGTTTAATGGACAATGGAAGGTAGTTCATCCTAAAGTCGCAGAGCCAGCTCAAAGTGCAATGCTGGTATATATAACGGATAACGGATAGTGCACTGAAGTCTGAAGGACGGAACTCCAAAAATCCGGGGCCGAGCAGCTATCTCTCAAAAGCCATTGACCACATAATCTTAGAAATCCTTCTTTAGAAAGACACCTTCAAGCAAATTTAGGACTATATAAGAATAAGTATCGACGTACCAAAAAGGCAAAGGAAAAGAATGATGGTAAATACCAAAGTAGAAATATGAAGACCGCCAATCTTCTAATTCCGCATAGGAAAAGGTCAGCAACAATAATCTAGCCTCTAAACCAAAACAAGAGTGGGCGCATTGGATGTCACATTTATAATTATTCGAAGTCAACTTGTAAAATGATTTAAATAGAGAAGATGGTGGGGGGATCAAATTTTGCGGAAAAGAAAGAAAAGCAAACATAAAGCTGTTCAGTGATTCAGGAACTTTCAAATTAACTGACAGATTGATGTCCTTCAAATGGGTTTGCTTGATAAAGAAATGGGCAGTATGACAAGCTGGGAGAGATTGATGAGCTTGAACTTTCAGCAGATCAGTCCTTCAAAGATTACAATGGTTTTTGAGAAATCCACCTCTCAAACATTGCATAGCACTCTTCAGGTTTGTACTCAGGAGCAGTGTGGCCTCCACCCTGCATATTTATTTGAACACATGACATGAATACGAACTTCCCAGTTCTGAACCATGATTCTTTCAAGTGAAACCGAAAAGATGTTTCTTGCCTTGATAGTTGCAAACGTCATCCCATTTGAATATGTCCTCGTGTAACTGCACAACAAGTAGCAGCTCCAAGTTACGTCTTTTTGGATTCAGAATAAAACAAAGAATGTTGCTTTTGCATGAATGCTTACCCAGCGACTTGGCCCCGGACTAGCCATGGCCTCCACTCATCTACGATGGAATAATTTAAATATCTTATCCATGCTTGAGTTCCCGTAAACGGGACAATAAAGTCATGATCTCCACTGCCATGAAAAACCAAATGACAGAAAATGAATTTGAAGTGATCACCAATAATTTTCCAGAGGCAGAACATGCAAGTCATGTATGACCAATTGCTTCACCTGTATATGAGCGCCCGGTAACCCTTAGCGCTCAAATCCAAATGATATGGAACACTGCTTCCAATTTCTTTAGTATAAGGCGTCCTAATACATCGCACCCATTTCCCTATGCTTCCCTGTTTTTACATCAAAACTACAATCACAAACGCGTTTTCTTGCGTCTTGATCATTATGAAAATGTGAAGGTCAACTGCTGAAGGAATATTATCATTCTCATACCTGACGGATGCCAAGGGCCTTGCGAACAGCACCATCATTCGCCCAATGCTGAGCTAGCAAACCTTCGTAAGTCTACATGCACGTAAACATCACTTACGAATCAACTCATGATTCAAGTTACCAAACGAGTGCTTAAACAGAAGCTGCATCTTTTCTTGTCATGTTAATTAAGGCATGGCAGATTGTGGAATTACTCGACATGTTACATCAGGAAGTGATGGTTGAGAGTATGAGGCGAGTAAGGTTTCAGGCATCTCGTCGAGAGATCTTCTGTCAGAGAACTTTTGTGGTTTTGGGGAGACAAAGGAACATTTGCGTTCCAAAACATGTGCAGTATTTATTCCTGAGACACACTGAAATTTAAAATTGGCAGATAATTATTACTACATAGATCACTAAGAGAAAAACGATTACCCAAGTACACACCAACTTATTATCATTGCCTACCTTTTCATAGGCTGCAATATATCCGGCACACTTTTTATTAC